GATAACTTAAATATTGATCTAAAAAGTCAATACATTTAGGCATTGAAGTTTGCATAACAACTGTGAAAACAATTGAATGACTTGTTTCTTCACCAAAATTCACCTCAGACAAGTCAACTTTCCGTATGAATATTAGAAGTTGTCTGCATCAATATTCCACTACAGCATTGTGACATTTTTCTAGCTTTTCTCTTATTGTTCTTAATCTAGCAAGTAAACATTTCAAAAACAGGAGGATGATTTTGTATTTTCAGCTGTTGCAGTGATGATTCTATCGGGGGAAACATTCAGAAGCGTCTCCTGTCTCCCACCCGTCTCCCACCAGAAAGCCCTTACCATTTCCATAGTTTAGAAGTTTTAAAGGAACCATGAAAGTGTTTTTTTACCAGTTGCATCACAAATTCTTCCGACGTAGAAGTTGGAAATATGAAGGAGGTTATGCTGCTTGAAGGTTTTGCTGCTTTATTAACAGAAATGAAGCAATTGTTGAGGATGGTGCCTTGTCACCCGACATTAGAGTAAGTCACATGCTAGCTATGAAAATGGATGATCGCAAAATGCAAAATGTCAGGGGCCGTACTCAAAGGTTCTCACTCGGAGAGCTTCTAACATAGCCTTCAAATTTCATTTAACGAGTCTTAGTTTAGGAGTCATTTTGGAAACTTCTCAATGGAACTCAGAGCAAGAAAGGAAAATAGACATTTGACCCACTATCTTAAAATCATGCAATTGGTCCATCGGAAAAGAAAAAGTGATACAGAAACACTGAATTTTGAGTTATATTTACAACGTAGTTTTTTAAGGGTCCACAATACATTAATCCCTTTGATTACATCAAATGTTGGAGATGTTGTAAAACATAATTGTGTTTTTATTATAAAATATTATATTGTAAAATATCTGCCTCCTATGGAACAGGTGGCTCTTCGAGTACCTCAAACTGTGTGGAGTATTCGTGTTGTTACATGTTAGGGATTTAAGCAAGAAGTGCACTACTAGTGGTGGAGATTATAATACGTGTAATGATGTTTAGTGTTAGAATTGTAGTTTGCGTGTTATTAGATATTAGGTATTACATTATAATGTTAGATGAAGTGAATGCAATATGAATCAAACACAATTTATAGTCATTTAAAACATATAAACACTGTACACATTAACATTCTGTCACAATGTGATGTTATAACCTGGGGACGGATGCTAGTTGCCGTCCTTTATGGATTTCTCCCAATTTTCTCCCCAAAGAGTTTTTTTTGGGGATTTTTTTCTCCTGTCAGGTAGTAGATGAGCAACTTAATGCAAAGCAGCCAATTGAGGCAAATGTCTTGAGAATTGAACCACATGAACTGTTTTAGATCTTATGATGAAGTGTGATGAACGGTGATCATTAATGATGTGTTGTAATATGTTCACTCTTTGAGGCATAAAGCCGACTGTATCTACATTGAATGTATTGGAATGTGAGGGACAGATAGGACAGAGAGGTTTCAGGTTACAGCTGCCGCTTCACACCTCGATGTGAAGGGGACAATGAAGGAGACACTTTGAAGGAGAAGCCAATGACATTCAAATGCACCCAAGAACACACACCTCAGGAGTTTTCAAATGACTAAAGCGGGAAAAGGACTGTTAGAATACTCCTGCAGCCGCTTTGATAAGTTACTTTGGACTTGCTCAGAGAATTTTCTATTTCGTGAAATATTGTACTGTTCATTTTGAATTTCTTATAATGTTGTTTAGCTATTAAAGGCTTTTTGATTTTTAAATTTAAGCAAGCTGACTCTTTTGATTCTTCGTTTCTGGCTGGGACGAGAACAAAGGAGTGAGGCCTCCCTCGAGGGCTTTCCGAACCCTTAACACATTCCTTCACTCAAATCAAGTGTTTCTGGGGCTCCTCGGGAGGTTGCAACTGAGGTAAAACATTCTTTTCAGGGCTGTAACTCATGAACAGCCCTCCTTTCCAAACATCGTTTTGTAGACGACTTCAGTTCTTAATACCTCCCTCATGTCACACATGTAAGCTCTTGCACTTCTGTGTCCGTCGGCCTTCTTGCAGCACACTCTGTGGCTCTCCATAGCAGAAGGAGAAGTAGTGTAGCAAATAACATTAATGATGGCTCTGTTCGTATTGGGTGCATTGCTATGGAATCCTGGAATACTTGAATGGATTGGAGGCATTCTTTATGCCCTTAGTTTAAACCTATGTTTGAAAAGTCGAAACGTCTGGTGTGCTGCAGAGAAAGCTCCAGTATGTCTAGACATTCACACAACACTCACATCCATCACTTGCTTTTGATTTTTACTTGGCCAAGTCCAGAAACTGTGAACATCTCCAGCCAAACCAGGAGAGCAAACACGAGATTAACAAGCAAACGTTTCACTTGTTAAAACGCAGACAATGCTAACAACCGCCAAGTGTCTTCAATCCAGCTAATCAAGAACACCATGAAGCATGAGACGAAGGCTGACTTTGTATGCACCTTTTTAAAAACCATAAAGCTATTTGTAGTAGAAATAAATAGTGTCTATAAACATGTCGGTCACTCCCTCTAACAAAATGTGTAGTTAAAGTCTACTCATGGTGCTGGCGTTTATTCAGATCCACTTAAACATTAAAGTTTATTTGAAAATCAGGTTCCAAGTTATGCTTACTGGTTTATAGACACACGTGATATTAACTTGACCGGTTGGTCTTATGGTCTCATAATGTGAGGATCCTCTTTAATGAATTCACAGAGGCAACTCTGGCCATACGGAAAGTCTAGTTTTAGTTAATTTAGTCTGTTAGAAGAAATATTAATAGGGAGGATATTTCTCCCATATGTGAGCGCGTATATTTTGATTTACTTTTTACTTTATTTGTTGTAGAATTCATGTTTCAGCTAAGGGAATCATTTTTATATGATTTAAGATGTTGTTGTAATGGAAATGCTATCATCTGGAAAAATGCCTCATTATCCGATTGAAAATTGTATTGTTTCAGAGAAAGAAACAACAAGAGACGTAATAATAAAGTGGAGGGAAAGGAAAATAGATTTTCGGCAATCATTTACAAAAACAGATTAAGTTAAATCATCATTTGATGTTTGTTGTTAAGTTTGATTTTAAGACAAACCTTAGTCACAAAAAATATTTAGAATGAGAACCAAAGAGTCAGAAGCAACAGAAAGAAAAGTGGAGACACATGGAAAATGGCATTTACAGAGATTTACAGAACGCAATCAGTGTTTTGTGGAGATAAAAACTGTGGCAACTACTACAAAATAAGTGTTTTTTTGATTTGAAATGGTTGGAAGAAGTAAAGTAAACAGGTGGGTTTGGCTGGCAGTCGGGAATTGACAGATTGATGCCACTTTCCTCCTCCTCCGCCGCTGCGGTGGGTAAGAGGCTCTTCTGAAAGAAACCGAGCTGCCAAGAGGTCTGACACAGACCAGCAGACCGGCACTCTATGCTCTGCAGCAATGGCCTTATTTAGTGGTGCGGACCCTTGCTTCGTCTTAGATCTATTTCCAACTCGATGAGCAGTGGGTTCAGTATGTAATGATCTGCTTTGTTGTGTTATATTTACTTATTCATATATATATTCATTCATATAATTACATATTTTAATAGAATATGCTCTCATAACAAGTGCAACCCCAACGGAGCAGACTGTACAATAAAAGTAGACATGCTGCTGGATATCAACTGCATTATTTAACAGCGTTCACCTCGAGTGGAACATAATGATTTAATACAACCATGGTGAAGAATTAGTTTTATATGTGTTGGAAATTAACGTTCCAAATGTTTTAGATTAGCATATCCGAAAGGATTAAGTTTGAACATCCCCTTTTTCCTAATACACCTTCTTCTTTTTTTAACTAAATTGAAGTGGCAATGTAATTTTAATGAATTAAACTAATTGAATTCATTAGTTGAGTTAAATCACATGTAATCCTCTGTGTGAATTGTTATTTTCGGTGTTGGATCCAGTCTCTCTCAATCTCTCTCTCAGCTTTTCGTCACTTGCTTCAAGCTTCAGCCGGCGACATCTCACATCTCACAGCCTGCCGACATATTCCCACATGTTCGGATTACACAACAGAATAAAAAAATATATGTCTGACCAAACAGTTCATCACATTGTCATCGGCTGCCAGTTGTGTTTTTCATCATCATCTTAATTTTGAGGTTGTACAAATGAGCTTTTTCTAATGACGAGTTTGAGACCATTTCAAAAATACTCAAGTAAGCAGAAGAAGAAATAAAGTAATCCCAAAGACGCTTCTTGGGTGACTGTTTCCTGCTCACTTGCACATCTGTTTGACTGAGGCCAAGGTGCATATATTTTGTAGTAAGTAAGTAAGTAATTCGGGAAGCTAAGCGCTCAATGCTGAAAGCAACACTTGTTACAGTGTTTGAGGACGAAGGGACATCAACACATCACACCGGTGTGGCAAAGGAAGAAAGAAGTGTTAATGCCATTTTGCCAAGTTAGTTCTTCTCCTAACAGCAACAAAAGGAAAACTGGGAAACTCGAGGCATCGGTGCCACCTCTTTCTTAATCTACTAAGAAGTTGTGTGTTTCTTTGTCCCTCAGCAACAAGCCCGTTGGTGCTCATACCCAAATGCATGTCGTCTGCATTTTATCTGGCAATCAACATTAAACAAAACAGTTTTGCTCAGTTGAAGATTTTTCGCAACAAGTTACAGCTACATCTCATCATCATGTTGTTTTACTTCAGTTGTACACAATCTATCCTGCAAAGAAGACATCAGCAATGCTGCATTGAGGAAATAAATTACCAGCAACAAATCAAAAAAATATCACATCGAGTTGGAAAGTCAGTTAAGATCGTCAATAACAATTTGTTCCAACAGTGTTGGTTTGTAATGACAATATGACAATATTATAGTTAGTTAGTTTTTAAGGAAAATGTAATCCTATGATCATATTTTTTTAATAAAAGCAGTAAAAGTTCCTCTGCCAGTAAAATGGACAAAAAGTACTAAAATAGTGACATCAAAATTGTTTATTCATTGGTTGTACGAGCAAAGAAATGAGACTACGGTCCGAATTAACAATTGATCCTTTATAGACAGAACAAACAATACGGTCACCACTTGAAAGAGATAGAGGCCCATATTGTACTGTACATTCAAAACAAAGATACACACACAAGTACACGGAGGAACATGAAAACAGATTAATCACCACGTACAAATATTCAACCACAAGGATTTCAGACGATAGCTTAAAAACACTGAAATGCACTACTTGTTTTTCACATTCTTGAGTAAATACTTTCATGGAGTCTTTTGACATTCAGTACTGTTAGTAAGAATAATTAATGACGTGTCATGTTTTGATGGTTGTAACTTTATGTCAACCCAGAAGATTTGAGACTTTTCTTCCATACTTTTGTTGAAACACATGTATCTGCTATCACTCAGGCCTACAAAGAGGACTCTGCAAACATAGTTTTGTTTATTTTGTAGTATCTTTAAAGAATGAGAAGAACTTTTTCTGAAATATATCAAACAGTTACAATGATTACAACACACGTTCCTAGCAGTGGGAACACACTGGTCATATGGTACATATTATATTATTATTATTAGAGCACGGTTCACCTGGCACAAGCTACCATTCTACTTGGAGCAGCTTCAACACTGCGGGTGCACACAAGCAGGTATTTAAATAAAGATTCAACAAAGGGAAACAGCATGCTGGAAGGAAATACTGAAACACTAACGACCGCGATAGCAACTGTCTCGCTTTCTCATAATGACCAGTGTGAAGGCAATTAAAAGAAAGATAATGAACAGTAAAACCAAGGTTGCACTTCAATGTGCAGCTTCCTTTGTTTTTTTTTTCCTTCATTAGTCGCAGAGCGAGTCCCGAGTTTTTCTTTCAATCTGTTCCCTTTTCATCAGCGTGCTGCACCAAATGAGGTTCAATCGACCGCCGTTCAATCGGCCCCCTTCTGCAGCCGCTTATTCGTGGCTTCAGGGGGAAATTGATGCAGAGTGCATCATCCGCGTCACATGGAGTTTGCACTTATTAGTTACATATGGAAATTAAAATAATAACATTCTTAAGTAATTAAAACCACCGTTGTTGTTTTTTCGAATCCTCTCCACTGTGAGATGGTCTTGCACTCCTAGCAGCTCCACACGGAACAGATTCATTTAGTCATCAATAATTTTTACTGTGGTAAAATAATGAAAGTGTTAATTAAGCAGCAGCACACTGGCTGCGTTTAAGCTATTTCCAGTCAGAGCTGAAAGTACTATAATGGAACAGCTACTTGCAGTATGTGATTAATGCAAAAGGGACTTTCATTAGATAGGAAGAAGACTTCAAAGTATCTCTTAAAGGCAAAGTCTTGAATTTAGACGATCAACAGGTCCAGAATAGATCCCAAACTGTAGTGTCTTAAGGCAATATGGATCTTTCCTAAAGCAGAGGTTGGTTTCACCAACTGGCAATTTGCTACGGGATCATTTCCGCTATCATTGATTTTGAGAGGTATCAATAATTAACGCGTGAGGATGGATGAGACGTTTTTTGCAATCATCAATCCTTTTGTGAATTGTGACTCTGCCCCTTGGAACAGCGTGTAAATACTGCTCGAATCCGGTTTTGTGAAAGAGCCTCCGGCACCACGCACATCTCCTCTCTGTCAGTAATTTACAAGACAACACAAGATACAATGTTTGGGAAACCGCTGGAAAAACCTGTGGTGCTTGCTGTATTTGCTTACAGCAGTTCGGCTGTGAAATGTATCTAAGCTGCCTTACTCGTCTTGGTGAGATTTACTACAAGTGCTTTAATACTCTAAGCTTTTAAGCGTTAATGTAGGGAACAGGGGAACAAGGGTTCAACTGAAAATTCATTTGTTCACACTGTGTCTCAGCTGATAAAGAAATCCGGTCTAAATAAAAAACAAACATCTGTTCCCCCCATTTGTATGTCCACTGCAATCTGACTTTTCTTTGCCTGCATGTGTCTCTGAATGCACCCTTCAAGAGAAATCTTCTGGTTGAACGCACGGAACCTCTCCGTTCTGCGTCTTTGCACCGTCGCCGTTGCATCTGGCGATCTCCGTGTGGCGAGAAGTGACGTAGCTTCTCTTTTTGGCCGACAGGGACTGCTTCCTACCAGAGCCGCCGTTGCCCACGGTGGGGTCGTAAAGCAACACCATGGAGGTATCCATCCGCGACAGCGTGTACACGCTGCTCTGGCGGGTTGGATGCAGACGCGTGGAGCGTAGCTCCAACTCGTCGTAGCTGGACACCTGGATGAACGGGCACCAACGAAACGCTCGCTTGAAGCCGGCTCGAAACCTGGCAACACATGGCGGAGGAGGAGGGGGGGGGGGGGGGGGGGGCGGGTTCAAATCACAGGGCAGGTGTTGTTTGATAAAATAAAGGGAGACGAACGTTTAAAAAGTCAATAACGTGGTAACCGACCTGCTGTTGAGGCAGCAGTAGATGATGGGGTTGTACATGGTGGAGCTCATTGCCAGCCACAGCACTGACAGGTAAAACTGCTGGATGTACTTCCACTTTTTCAGTGCCTTGTTGAGACCGGTTACAATGAAGTAAGTGTGATAGGGCAGCCAGCAGAGGGCAAAGGTCACCACTACGATGATCATCATCTTTACCACCTGCGAGTCAAAGAGAGAGAGAGAGAGAGAGAGAGTGAAAGACAAACAAAATGACAGGGAAACAATACTGCTGCCAACCAGCGACTGTGTCTGAAACAAAATAATATTTATGTGGTTAAGTATGAGGCAAAGCTTTTCAGTCCGCTTCTGGATTATGTGGCCCTTCAGAGGAAGGCCGGGGTAACGCAACCAGAGACAAAACAGACGTCATTGAGTCCCTCCTGGAATCCAAACAGAAGTCCTGGTACCTCTCGGTTGAAACGCATGTTTCAAAGAAATTTATGACCCAGTACAAGGCAGGTTGTAACGTGAGGTGGCTGCAGCCAGCCGGTGTCTTGGGTGGAGATTACGGTTTATATATTCTCAAGGAGATACAGGTCGAGCTTGAAAGTGATGTGAGAAGACTTCCAGACCAAAGGGTTGTTATGAGCGCGATAGTGTTTGAAACAATAATCGCTTTCCAAAGAACATTACGGATTCCCCCAAATTAAGTCTGTATTTAGGGGAAAATATATTCTCCCTTTTTGTTTGCGACAAAATGTACATATTTTTTATACACAAACATTAAGCCAAACCAAAATATTTGACTAAACCTGACCAAGTAGTTGCGTTGGCGTTTTTGTTTCTTTTCAATCCACACATCTGTCTCTGTCATTAGTTTGTACTCATGTATCGATAAATACAAATGTAAATGACTGTATGTGATAATTAGCAAAAGAAATAAAAAAATAAGGTTGCAAAAACCAAAATCTTCCAGACATGATTACAGCTTTCTACTTTAACTGAGACCGTCAGTTAATATATTCTGCATTATACACAGACAGTTAAAATGGTCAAGACGTACACAAAAAGACACCCTTCCACGTGTTATCTACTGAAGCCTCTTCCCCACAGAGCCACATAAACATGCTGAAAGTATATCCTGCGGAGTACAGGAGATTTAGGGGAGCTCATGCAGTGGATTATATAAACAGTTCTTCCCCCCAGCAGCCGTTTCTTTCCATTTGGAATAACGAGAATGTGAGAGAAAATATTTTCAACCATGTATTGTGTTCATCTTCTATAACGTTGCTGATGGAAACAGTACGGCTGTAAGTTACAGTTATAAACTGAACTGAGCTTTCGCAATAAACAGAAGTAGGAATTATGACTGGTGCATACAGAGAGCCAGAGTAAAGCGTTTGTATAGTTTACAGTATTTGTTACAGTGGGACAGTCAATGAGGTCACACTACAGGAATATTCCACATTAAAATGCAATCTTCTTACAAAACAAATGTGTCATAGGGATGTAAAGCATCACACTGATTAGAATAGCCTGATTATAAGGGTGGGAAACCTGAGCTTGTCTGCATTCTTGCTTGTACGGGGCCATATTTCTAACCAATTACTCCATTGAAAATGAATCCAAAGGTCGAAATGTATATAATGTAAACAACTAAACAAGGAAAAAATGGAAGTTACATTTGATTTATTTCAAGAATGTAAAAAACGTTTAGGCGAGTTCCAATGTGAGGCTTACTGTCCGACCAAATATGCATATGTATCCACACACCCAATACCAATAGCTTCAAGGGTTTTGGTACAGATAGAAGGCTTTTTAATTATTAATAGATGCAAATAGAATATACAACAATAACTACAGGCAGAGGAATACAAGTATTATTAAGAATAATAGAAAAAATGGAGGCGAGAGAGGGAGGGGGGGGGTCTCCAGTAAGCTTTACATCATAATGACAGATAAATATAAATATAACTCTTCTTCAAAGTCATAGCTATGGATATTCTGGTACAATGCATTGTATTTCCGTCATCGCCATGAGTTAAGACTTTGCAGGTCACTGAGGTCACCTGCTACTGACCTTTCAAAAATATCATGCGTTGTCTCCAAAAGAAGAGAAGCAGCTTTCTATTCTTATGCCACGTGAGCTGGAAAATCCTGCCAGAGGATTTCCATCAGTTCCTTTTTTCAAAAAATAAACGTAAAACCTTTTTATTTAGCATAGAATACGCCTGCGGACTATAATTAATACAAAATATATGTGTTATTCCTGGTCAATCACTGGTAATAAATTTTTTCTCTCTTCACATGTTTCAATCTTTTTAACCTTCATATATTATTTGTTTATACATAATATATGAAGTAATATATTGAGTACAACAACCACACATGCTTTCAATTATTTTGTGGCAGACTATGCTTCCTTGGGAAATAGTTTGAACAGTTATTTGTAGCTGGAAGTTGTTAACAAGGCACCGTGGCGTGGATTGGGCTTCCCGCTCACGGTATCACAAGTCCAATTGTAGCTGGTGAGGGTGAGATGTGATGCTTTTCATCAAAACCTTTCCTCTCCACAGGAAGCTCCCGTTGGTGAAGACATTGACGAGGTTCATTTTTATTGAAGGTCCCGCTGCAATCTATGTATAGGACGTAGCTGCAGATGTTGTGCGAGTCCAGTTGTTGCAGTGAGTTAACAGCATCAACCGACTGGTAAGCCATTTAATTCTTCTCGTATTTGTTTTCCTGGACACGGCGGTCCCCTCTTCCTTCTGAATGTACAATGCAAAGAGGGTGCAAGGAGAGTAATGTTCGTCTAGAGACCATTCAAATCTCCCATATAACTTGCTGAGATTGTCCGGAAGGTTATTATGTGTTAAAATGTAAGATGACAGTACGTCATCATTTTGAGGAGATCTTCTTGAGGGCTAAAAGTCTTCCTTAAAGGGGAAAATGTAAAAAAAAAAAAAAAAAAAAGCAACAATACATTTTTCCTTTTTTTTTAGGTTGAACAGGATTTAAAATTCACACCTGCATAACTATGATTAAAAAGTCCCTTTTTTAAAAAACATTTCACAAAACGGTCTCTTCTACCGTCCTCTGGGACAGAATGACTGGAAAGCTAAGTGATTCTCTCTCCGTCTCAAATTGAATTTTCCTGATGCAGAAGTAATCTAGAGGAGAGGAGAGGAGAGAAGAACGGTCTAACCGAGTGAACCTTGCGATCGAAATGTTGTACTTCCCAAATACAGCAATCAGGGTTTTTTGTACTATTCGCAATCACCCAACCTTAGAAAGCCAATCTTTTTCTGTTTGAGGGACGGATAGGAGGAAGAGTAGGTGACCTATTCCTTGCAATGACACTGTAATTTACTCAGATTGCTGCTCTGTCACTTCTAGTATATTAGATGTTGTTGTAGGTTTTAAGGTTACTTTCTAAGTATGCTGGAAGACAGGATTGTATTGATTGCGATCCCAAAATCCATTCATTCCTAGATTAAATGCCAGTGAAAGATTAAAGATGTTGAAGTAAATTGACTAAGTGCACTTTCCATTAGTGTGTGGCACAAAAAAGTTTGTCTTATTAATGACGTTGACTCTTGCTAGTTAGTGAGGCTACACAAGCAAACACAGGACGTGACGGATTGCATGAATAGGGAAACCGCAATGGGCGCAGACACCATTAATAAACAGAAGATATAAACTACATGTGCGTTTCGATTTAATGTGTGCAGATGGAGAGGCCCCTTGATGATTTTCATTCCTTTATTAAACTTGAAAGTTTAATACAAATAAGCTCAGACAGACCATAAGAGCTATAGAAAGACTAAAGGCAACTTCCAGCCCCTTTTTCCCCCCTCAGCTGAATTCAGTTAACCATCACCTGCATTTAAGCCCCAATGTCACTCAATCCATATCAGCTTGTCCACCGTCCAACCCCGATTTTGTATGCATCAAGCCAGCAGTGTTCCTAGTATTCCTTGTGCTGTTTTGGTGTTCCTGTTTTTTGTTGCCAGGCCTTTTGCTTTCTCCTTCTCCAGCGTGAAAAGGGGGACATATAACACCTGAGCTTTATCCGTAACTCAATAGCCAGAGCTCTTTGGAGGTCAATGGCTACATAAAATAGAACGCCAATTTTAAAAAAAAAGTCTCCTGCCCGGTCGAGACTTTGTCCTTTGCAAAATGTTAGTTTTCATAACAAAAGATTTTCTCTGTTTAGGTGCAATCCTTGAGCCGTTGCGACGTACGTTTTGGTTTAACTTAGACGGATACAGTTTTAGAGAGGGTTGATGATTTATTGGGATCCATTGAGTCATGATATATTTTGTTTGTTATCTGTGATATCACCATCCATCCATCCATCCATCCATTGTCAAACCGCTTATCCTGCACACAGGGTCGCGGGGGGGCTGGAGTCCATCCCAGCCAACTTCGGGCGATAGACAGGGTACATCCTGGATTGGTCGCCAGCCAATCGCAGGGCTACACAGAGACACACAACCATTCACACTCACACTCACACAACTACGGGCAATTTAAAGTCCCCAATTAACAGATGTATGTAATATTATAATAAAGGTGTTCCCAGCCCCTTGCACACCTGCCAGCTATAAACTATTGTATTACATTTTTACATATAATGCTCTGCAGATTACGTTCATTCTTATCCAGGGATTATCCAGGGATTTTTTCACTTCATTTTGTTTTTCAAAAACAAAGTTTACATTTCACAACAATTCACTACAATATACTGTATTGCATTTGTTTTCTGTTCTTTTTCTGCACGTCATTCATAAACCCTGATAAGCCTGTCTACAATTTCTGTGTAAAACAACAGTGTAACACTTCATATATTGGAAATACTATTTACAGTGAGCCAACTCTCTCTCTCCTAAAAATTGTGCATACTTTTCAAAGTAAATCAACTACTTATCCCCGCAAAAAGCCTTTTTTCCCATTACGATTCAATTCCGTTGCAAGACAGTATGAAAGTAGGTGGGGGTCTGATTAAAGCAAAAGCTTTTGCACACCAATGAATTGCACATGTTCCAGCAGCAGACCTTTGTGAGGGTGTGAAAAAGACAAAACATGCAGTTTCTTGCTTTAAACAATCACCGAAGTTAAGCCAGACTGCAGGAGTCCATGTGACTGACTGGAGGCACTCAGCCTCAAGAGAACGGAGCAAACTCGCATTGTGTCCCAGTGTTGCTTGGTGAATGACCCTTAAAAAATAGCTTCTTTAGTATTTATCATTATGGATCAAGCTCTCCTACACTTTGTCTCTCCCATGACAGACTGTTCTTTTGACACTTCTTCCGTCAGAATAAGAACTATTACCACTGCAAGTTTGCATGACACGCGAATACACTGCGGTGTGAAAATCTGATAAGATTTGCAACTTTACTGACATAAACACAAACACAAATGGGAAAGAGAGAGGGATCCAACACTCAGAAAAGCAGTAAGACTGTGGTGATTATTAAATGCTGCAATATGAAGCACCACTACGAGACCAAGTACCCCAAAAACAATGTAAGGGCCCCACATGATCAGATTCCCATCCATTAATTGCCAATAATGTTAACAGAGAGGATAACCGCAGATTGTATTTAACTGAACCTTTATTTGAATTTTAAATTTATTTGTAGACTTCATACATATGTTGATACAACTAGCAAGGCTACTTCAAATGACACGGGATTAAATGAATCATTAATTGATCTAGATTGATTAATTGATTTAGATTAGATAAAAGTGATGATGAAAAAGGTTTTTGCTTCTTCGCAGACCTGTGATGGCTGCACAAAAAATGTCTCATTAAAGGGCACACACTACTTTGTTTGTTTTTGTACAAATATATCACTTTCTGCCGTTTTAATCCACTCTATTTCATTGCAGTGAACTTTGCCACTGCCGTACCACCTACAAAAAGCAAATGACTCCTTCAAAGCCCTCAGAGGGTTTTCAGATTCTTTTGAAGATGCAACCATCACTGTTCAATTCACTTCCCCTTGGGAGGTTCTCGCTTTTGGGGATGAAGCAGTACTGCTCCATAAAAGGGTCAGTTAATCTTCACCTTTGGCTGTCAACTCAATACATAAGAATGCACGCTTCTGTGAGTACAGCATGGATTAAAAAAAGCGTTATCTGCAATTATCATGGCAGGAGCACAGAGCAGAGTGGCAGTCATGAGCTAGGCAGTGGTGCACGCACAGATACAACAAAAGAGACAGGGAAGCAATTATGACAACTAGCACACACACACACAAATAGAGTGACTCCCTGCTATTTGAATCCTCGGCAATCCTTCAAATAATTTTGCTGAGTTTCTCAAATGGAGATTTCTTCTTTCGATACCTTTCACTTGCATTATATCTTCAAATTAGAAAAACTAAAGAGAAACCGACATTTTGAGAATTCACTGAAAAAATCACTGAAGGCCAATTATGTCAAAGTGATTAAGGCCAGACCCACCACACCTGTATTTGAATGTCCGATTACATGCTAGTAGTATAAAGTACTGTATACGAGGATGACAGACAGCTTTGGGAATGCCACCGCTGATTCAACTTCACCGAAAAAAAGCTAAAGCTAAATGGTTGCATGGTCCCTGGCTGTGCCAGGAAATACATCATTTTATTTGCAATTGACGCTGCAGTTGGGATTTATTTCCGGACCTTGTTGTCTGCAGCAAAATGTATGTTCTGCTACGTGGTGATTCGTCATTGTAACGGTAAACGGTGTCGTTGTTAAAACGTGTCTTGAATGAGCCAAAAAGGCCGTGATGTCTTCCGAACTGCGGACAAACTAATAAGGCCTCGAGACACCGTTGGTTTTCAGAGCTTGTTTGTGTTCGTGGACAAAGACTTGATTGAGGACAAGTGACAACCACAAAGGTTGTGTTCTCTGGAATTAAGGTTTTCCTTCCTGAAATGTTCACCTGCTGCACACGCATACAGAAGGAAAACCATCCTTCTTCTTTTTCTTTTTAGCAATCAATGCAAAATGCTGTTGTCACTTTTAAGTATAAGATTCATGTGCAATATATGAAAACACAATTTCACATCGTATTCAAAGGAAAAACAGAGAACAATAATATGTTCTGTATTAAAGGGTTAAATTGTAAAAAATCATCTACTGTATAGATAATTAGCAGAATTTCCTTAATTATGTTAGTACAGTCCATTTGATTTGGGGTTGGTCTGGGATTTCCTCCATCAGACAATAAATGTATTTGCTATAGAAGCTAAATTAACAGCGACAGAAGCTAAAGTCGTGAAGGTAAACAGTAAAAGCAAGTTAGATATTTGCTCTGACTTCGGAGACACTTTTGGAATAACTTTTAGTTTTACCAAAATAATCTGATGATCCTTTTCCTATTCCCATTTACAGACGTCAGATTTCCCAGACTCCAAGGCTGCTTTATGGCAAATGAAATCAAAACTCATTGCTTGTTATCTAACTTTAATTCTAAAATCATGTTCATAGATACTAATCGGGCTACGCTGGTGCACCTCTGAATTCCCACCGTTTACGCTCAAGCAGGCTTACCTTCCTTTTAGCCCTGAGCTGTCCGTGATAGTTGTCTGACGAGTCTCCCGGGATCTCCCCTCCCCACAGAGTCATGCCCACAATGGTGTAGTTGATGGCCATCACCACTAGGGGCAGCACGTAGACCAGAACAGTGACTATGGTATGATACCTAGGAAGAAGGAGGGATTTTTTATTTAGCTTCTTTAGTTTTGTAAAGGAAGGTCAGTCAAGTGTTTCTCACATGAAGGGGTCGTCGGCCATGCGGGGCCAGGCCACGTAGCAGACGGTCCTGCGGGGGAGGGTCTGGGTGGTGGAGAAGTAGCAGAGAGGGAAGGCCAGAACCACGGCCAGACTCCAGATACAGACGATGACTCCGGTGGTGGCCTTCGCCGACAGACGAGGCTTGAGGGGATGGATGATGGCCATGTACCTGCAGGTCAGAGGTCAGGAGTTTAGTAAAGACAGACTTGGGTTTAAAGCTTTAACAAATTATTGAATGATTGATTGACAAATAGTGAACATTTCCACTTATTAATGCATTTTCTCTCTAACTTTTAGACAATGCCTCCTTAAGCTTGGGATGTTTCATGCAGCTGTATGAAAAGCTCCTTCAGTGACTGTCTGCTTCAACGGCTGTGAGTGAAGGCGAGACATCGCAGTCCTTCTCGCCTGGTGCTGGCAGACCGAACAATCAACGCTGCTCTTAGTAGACCAAATATAACACTGGCATTAAGCCGAGTGAAATGTCAACATCAATATGCGCAATAATGTGAATTCAACATTTCAGTTGTAGTTTCCTTTTTTGTTGTTTCATATATTATAGCACTGTCTTGTTGTTGTAGCTGGTGCTTCTGGTTATTGTACTATCCCCTCTGCTGCAAAGGGATGTGGGCTTGCATTATTGATTCATGTTTATTATTTTTGTTGTTTTGAATTGGATTTCTGACAGTTTGTTACTTTTGCTGTACATCATATGTGTTATTCTGGTTTGGTTTTGGGTGGAGCATAGCAATGGTCCGGCATAAGCGAAGAGCTAGGAAATGAGAAATAGAAGAGTTGGGGTGCACACACAGTCCCTCTTATTTCCCAATTGTTTGCAACCTTAAATCATAGGCATAGAAACGTCCTTTGCAAAACTCCTCCGGTTGAAAAGAGTATTCAGATTGTATGGACGTTAATGAGGACATTTCTCCAATTCTCACGTGAATTATTACTTCAGTTTACGGTCTCAATCGCAAGTTTTGAGTCTTCTTTAATTCCACGTGATGTTCATTTAGCGCCCCACGAAGCGTAAGATAGACGATAAAGCAGCTAATAGTGTAGCTACCTGATGATTGACAGGTCACTATTACTACCAGGGCCACATGCAGAGTCCCTGTCACTTCTCCCCAGTCCAAATAGTGTCACTTCTATTAACTGGTTTCTAAAAAAACCTGATGGGCACAACAAAAATGTCAAATGTTGATGCTCAGCAACAGCAGTCTACAGAACAGAAGGTTCCAAGAGAAATGTATATTTGGAAGCACTGATGTACGTGATGAACTTGGAATAGAATTTTCCAGCTTTTTACATTTGACTGTTTTCCGTGAGTACAACCCGCCAACACTGTGTGACAGAAATTAAATTGCTTGGCTTACATTCTGTGTCGAACTGATCTGTTTGGCACTGTTTGAATAGAATATCCAATGTCCAATCCAGCCTGTGCCACCAATAGTGGTTTTTTTTGGTATCCCACGGTGGCTGATATGATAGACTTGTAACTGCTCAACAATAACCACAATGCTTGAATAACATGATTACCTACCCCGCACCTCTAGTAAACCAAGTACACACATCAACACACACCTACAGGAGCGTCGTCATCAATCACAGAGACATTACAGAGACAGAGGAGAGGAGTTTGTTCAATGTTTAAGTTCACAACATCTCAGATGACACTACAGTGTAGTTTAGACAAATACTTTTAACTAAAAATGACTTACAGGTCTGCACCACTTGAAAAATGTTCTTTGTACGTAAGGCAAAATTCCAAATAACAGAAAATTGGTCAATGCATCAAAATCAAAATCACTTGATAAAGGCAATTAAAAACGAGTGTGTTTATTGGAGAGGTTCTTGAATGAGGCCTGTTATTTCTGGAGGAACTGTTGAATTTTTAACAACCTATTTTTGCTGCTGAAGCTAAATACATCCCACAAATAGAAATCTCAAACAGGCCAAATAAAACCAAAACAAGTCTGAAATGGACCTGAAAGCCCTTTATATTCTCTGTGAAGTGTTTGTATACTGCACTGCTGCCGAAAACCCAGTGTCGTGTCTGTATTCTACAAAGCTGTCAGTTCTGGGAAAAGGTGCAAGCTGTGTAACCACAAAAAGCTCCGGCTTTGCCAGTTACCTTCCACGCGGCAATCTGCAATCAGAAATTCGTTTGGCTCCAGGGCCTGAGGTACAGCGTTAACAGGAACAAAACATGTGAACCGGTGATCACGAACTGTGGCCTCCTGCCATTTAAAGACATGTGAGCAGAGGCCGCCGCGTACCGGGGGGGAGGTTTAAAAAATGCGTAACCCGAGGCTACATCTACATCGTGTAGGTCACGCCGATGTTCTCTTTCTCAGTACGCCGTTGACAGAATCAAACAGACACTGGAGACCAAAAATATAAACTCGTGGACATTGCTGTATAGAGGAGCCAAAATAAGCACGGCCTCAAGTGAAGGAAGCATTGCTCCATATGTGTGTGTGTGTGTGTGTGTCAAGGAAAACACCTCATAAAACATCTCACTGCGTGACGTTGTGCACTGGATGAGGATACATCGTGGCTGCGTGCAGCTTCTCGCACGCATTTTAGTTTTCATTATGTTCGGCCAGTGGCCGCTTCCTTCATCGGTCTAATCCCTTTATTCAAACATTATGACGGTCCACTTATCGGTATCAAAGTGTGCCTATTAGCTCCACTGCATCGCCACATTACTGAAAACAACAAGGGCAGGGAAACGGAGAAAGGAGATGGAGGAACAAGAAGTGTGATGGAGCAAAGACGATGTATAATATGCATGTGAGAGCGTGATAACATGAGGTTTACACAAAGAGCTCTTCGCTGCATTGCAGATTGTTGGACTTCACTTTATTATTAATTGAGATTGAAATTGAGAACTAATGTGTGGAACAGAGTCATGGTGGAGAAAATGGCCTCCCGCTGGGAAAAAAACAGCCTTTTAAATGCGAATCACAAACAAGTAATCATCAGCCATCACTGGGAGCTGAAATGAACGTATCCTTTAATCAGCAGGGGGCATAAACCCTCATCAAATAATGTGGGAACAACGCCTTTATAAAATGCCATCAGTGGAATATAAAGTAAACTGCCATCAGTTATTTGTTATGGGCCAATAAGCTGCAGGCATCGTATGAACTGAAGTTTTTAGCCATAAAAATAATACGGATTTGAGTTTAATGTCCGTGATGACGTTTTCTGTCACAGCTGAAGAGATGATCACAAACAAGATTCCCAAAACACAATGAAGCACTTGAGATGAAATTGTTTCAGTTAAGGACTCTTTTTGTATGTGGGTTGAATGTATCTGCATTACAATAGTTAGTCTCACCCCAATGGCTTTATTGCTTTTCCATTTTTTTTCCTGAAGTACGCCTACAGGTTAATAAAATAATCTAAACATGTTATACAATCAAACACTTGGTGATCACCTCCGGGGAAACCGATTCCATACCTGTCCACAGCTATCGCGGTCATGGAGTAGATGCTTGCGAACACGGACGTGACCGGGAAGAAGTTGTGGAATTTGCAGTACGCTTTCCCGAAGTACCAATCCCCGTGGGTGGCGTAGATAAAGTTGATCAAGGTGTTCAACGCGGCCATCGACGCCTCCGAAAACGCCAAGTTTAACAGAAAGTAGTTCGTCACCGTCCTCATGCGCTTGTGCGCCAGGATGATCCATATCACGATGAGGTTTCCGAACACGGCCACCGCCATCACGGAGCTGTACGCGACGGACCAGAGAGCGACTTGCAACGGCGGCTGCACGAACTGGTTGGTGTAGTTTGCCGTTATGTTGGATCCGTTATGAGGAGCAGCCATCCTGTTTTCCGTCCGCCACGGCGCGCGGCGTAAGCGCAACACCATCCCCAAAGGACATCCAAAGTTGTTGCGCGCGTGTCAGCGCGCGGAGGTAGGTCTGCAAAATGAGAATGCGTTGAAAGCAAATATCCTTCCAGCGCCTTGTTCCAAGTGGGTGTGAGCGCACAGCCTCTCTCCTCCAGCAGCAGGCAGGGTGCCGTGCGCACCCGGTGACGCACGAGTGGCACACGCGGTCAACGAGATTGATCGATTCTTGTGGCTCCGGAGTTAAACTTGAGTGAATAACAGATTGCAACGCGGTTAGTGGCCCACATACTGTAATCAGTCAGCACACGCGATGTGTATTTTAAACACTTTTTGGTTAGCGGCATTTCCAAGAAAGAAGAGGGTGTTGAAATGTGGCGCGTAGAATAACACCCTCTTTTCAGCGCACGCGGATCAGCGTCACCTCCTCCTGCGGAGTTTTCCATCACTGTTGAGTGTTGTGAATGTCTCAGTGCTTAAATCCTCGTCCCGGTGCACCACAGACAATGTGTGTCCACTCTCCAAATGACTGTGACTTTCCCTCTTCTTGTCACATCAATATTCACAACTAACAGGCTGATGTTCCCCCCAGACATCCAAGGGCTCACATCAGATAAACCTCGGTCATCTCGTTACATCGCCTGCAGTGCTGTGGTAACCTCTACATGGGTACAATTACATCTCTTTCTACGGCTCATCAAACTCAATAAATCCAGGAATGCTTTTTTTTATCGCTACAGTGTCCAACAACATGTTCCTAGAAATGATATGATATTGTGGAAGGTCTAAAGGTTGCAAATCACAGTCGACTGTATTTTCCTCTTAACTTAACTTCATTTGTATTTATCTTTATCTTTGTATTTGTCTGTCAGTGTGACATCATCCCTCGAAATCAAGAAAAGTTGAAAACAAGCCAGCAGGATATGTGACGCTTTATTGTTATTTAAGTGGTCGGTCACAAGACAATTTCAGTTCACTGGGCCGCACTGCAGATGAACACATGGATTTAATGTAGGTCTCTCCTGTCCATGTGAATGTATTACGCTGCAGCAGATTTTACAACATAATAAAAAGAAAAGCTGAAAAAACTACACATTTTTGGTTAGTAATTATTTAATATACAAGTTATATATATATATATATATATATATATATATATATAGTTGTGCATGGGAAAGAACTTGTACTAAAACCAGTGCATCATCACAGATCCTGACAAAATGAATGACGTAGTGATTTAAATGAAGATTAAAGCCATCTACGTGAACCAAATGAGTGTTCTGCTGCACTCTGCTACCCGGCATGTTAGTGCTGATTGAAATTCATTATGAGACACTGACAATTTTGAAGTGTTCTCCCTGAGGATATGTAAATATTGCCAAAAGTATAATGATGGGCACACTATTCAACAACATAACTGCGTTGGCATTGTGGAAACCCAGCATACATATTCATCGAACAAGTTCATACAAATGAATGGTTATTCAAAGGAATACAAACACCACATATCAAGCATTTCGAAACCGTTTGTTAACGTCAGTTTGAAGTCTGCCCCATAAAAAAACGTTCTGTACTGCGGGCAGTTGTAGCGAGATATTCATCCTGGTTCCACATATACATAATCAGATGCTCATTTTTTCTCTCTGTGAAACACAAGAGTGCTCAGAAAACACCTTAATGGTGTTTGAAAGATTTGGCTAGTTCACACATGGACACTAATACAAAAGACAGGTGTTGCATGTGAGGTTTATCTCCACTGATTTGACCCCTGTCTGCTTAATGAAGCGGGTTCATTATCTGCCTGTGGCTTTGTTATGTGCATGAACATATGGTTTATCACATTTTTAAGAAGGCAAATTACATTCATGCAAGTCTCCCACTGCATATTTCTTGTAAAGATATCAAGGGAAGGGGTACATGGGTTGAGCTGCAGCGTTGTCGTCAGCTCTTCTCACAGCTGCCTCTATGCTTTGTCACAAACCACGTTAGGGCCCGGGGCTTCTCGCTTTGTTCAATGCAAAATCCATCCAGGGACAGCAATGTATTTGCTAATGTTAGAGCATTGCTCTTCGAATATTTCTTTACTTGTTTTTACCCCAGACATTAACATGTGTGCTCTGAATTCCTAAACGAGGTGTCCTGCTCTACTTTGTAGCTTGTGATACTTTACTCTTGGTGCGTGAAGCCAGTTTGACTATTGACCATTAATCAATGGAAAAGCTATTAGAGGGCATATTTGTGCTACAAAAACGGGTTGACACAAATGCAGAGTCGACACGAGTTGGTCTCTCCTACAATGAGCAGTTGTTCTATAAGCAGATGGTTCACACACCAACAGCTTCAGAGCCTGCTTGAGACTGTGATTCAGAGCCACAAAGGAGACAAAAACTGATCAGGCCACAGCCGCGGCTCTGGGCGGCTCTCACGCGGCGGTTGCAGCTGACAACACCGACCCTTTAAAACAGGGGTCGTCGCGACACAGCGGCCTATTAAAAGGCAATCGAGATGCTTTTAGTCTTGTATCATGCACCTTCGAGAAAGGCACTGGAGTTATCTGTGGTAATGAATTGCCGGCCCGGTGAGAGAAAAGACAAGCCAAGATATACATGAATGTTAGCATATTAGCAGCATATGGAGAACGTGGTGTGGTTCTCCTCCCCTCTATCAATGCAGCGTTTCTATTAACCTGTCCTGCTGCTGGATTCAGTGGATGTCAATCCCACAGCGATACCTAACTCCCCACATGGAGCCACAGGGATTTATGAGATCTGAAGGGCTCTTCAGATTATTGGCAGTTGTATTCAATACGGCTTTATTAGATAAGTGAGGGGATTGAAGTGTTTGCTTCATGTTTGAAGACCTCTTAGTACCACGCAAGAGAGTCCGCAGAAGAATGCAGATGCTTCAGATGCAGCGTCGAGGGAAGAGGAGATGTGTTTCAGTGTGCTGAAAACTATGGGGCCACTTTAAAAAATATTACTAACGTTTGATACAATGTAGAAAAGAGGAAAACAATAAGTGAAAAAGATAATTATTCTAATAAGGATACTTGGTAAAGATGCCAGTAACCCCAGAAAACATGCACTTCGACATACTTTAATCTGCAGTGCATTATTTGAAATAAATCTGGTCATTTTGTACACAACAGTAAAAAGCAGAAAGTAGTATGGTTTGGTTGTTTGAAGAAAGAATGGTGAAATGACGTATGAAGCCAAACAGACACAGGATTTGTAGAATTGTAAAGTGGAGTAAGCATAAGAAAATGTCCTTCCATTTGCTTACATTGCAGTCTGAAAAAGCCTAATATTTGTTTTGATCAAAAGCGCTTCGCATTTTTATTTTCATACCCGTTGGAGGTTGAATTACTCATAGCTATTCTGCTCTTGCTTGATTTAAGTCACTGAATCTCCCCACGAAGGAAATTATCAGTGTTGAATTTTAGTCTGCAGGTATTTGTTAGCCCAGTATTGATGAAACAGAGCAACATTAGCGCAAGACAAACAAGTTAGTGGACTGCCGAGCGCTTTGAATGCTGTTTCTCGGCTCCGCGCACACAGAGTGTGTGTGTGTGTGTGTGTGTGCGTGTGCGTGTGCGAAGCTCTGGCAGAAACAACAGACAACAGTGTGACGTTAAATAACAGCTGAAGGCAGAAAGACTCACACTGAGCTGAAACTACATCAAACACCCCGTTATGTTTTGGCCCTGCAGAATTGTTGGGAAAGCTCTGGTAGCCAAATGGTTCAAGGAGCATGCATGTTATAAATAAGGGCTTGTTTTATTGTCAGAAAAAAAAGCAATTACTTTATCCAACCAACAAGTATTGTTCATAAGCCAGAGCATCATATTGCTTAATTATTCATTCAATTAAGTCTTCATCCACTGATAGAAACCTCAGTTTAAAAACAAAAATTTGGAAACATTGTAACAGAGACATTAACATCTATCTAGGTTTGGGGAGTGGTATGAATTGAACAGGTAGTTTTGCGTTAAATAACTGACAGTTGTCTTGCCTTACAGGAACAACAAACACATACACAGCACTGAATCTAGCATTTGGAATGGAAAAAAAGAAAGATGAAAAACATAGAACTCCCTGTTACTGATCCTCCAGCTCTTAACTAGTAACACTGCACAATTATGTTTTAGAAATGTAATCGGTAAATGATTGCTCTTTACTCTCCTCGTGTGGAGAACGGTGTATGCTGCAGGGTTGGGAAGAGGGAAGACGGGTTTCCACAATCCAAACCGTTATTTCAATTTCGAGGAATCATTGAGGACATGCTTTCCAATTTCAATGATGTCCAGATGAAAGTACTGATTAAATGCCTAATAGAAAAGTCTAATTAGCAAGAACACCAATCACCACACTACAGACGTTTGATAGTCTGCCCAGTTTGTAATGATGGTTTAAAATAGACTTATAGGTATTAAGTTAAGTTATAATGTGTGTTGTAAAATGTTCCTCATGTGCAGCATTGAAACTAAAACCAGCTTATCCCCTTTTCTTTCATGCAGCCTCCAGAACGAGTCAAATAATGACGGTCCTATTTGATAAAGAAGTGATCTATCAGGTTGCCAATAAAGGCTTCATAGATAGCGATGAACTGTGAGAGACGACCTTTTCATTCAAGATGCAATAATGAGTGCTGCCCCCTGCAATAAATCTTCAAAGAGAAACTGAATCTAGGGGAGGCGTGTCTATAGATAACATCAGCATCACACAGGACCCATCAGAAGATTATCCACTTCCCAGTGAGTACAGCAAAATACGCTGTCATTCTGATCAAGTATGCCGTTTTCATTCATTTGAATTTCCAGATTGGAGCGATAGCACTGGAAAGATTAAAGAGATTTTTCCTCCCACAAATTGGACACAGTGCTTTAAAAATGAAGGGTCTTGTTCTCGGCATTTACTTTCCTGTAATCCACAGAGTGCTAAGTGGAGGCTGTAGGGTGAAGCGGGAGGTTTAAGGAGGTGAGCTAAGCTAAAGGCTACTACTACTACTACTACTACTAATATTTTATTTTATTTTAACAGGAAAAACATATAGATGACTTCACATTTACAGATATACGGCCTCCTCCTCCTGCGTCTCTTCTAGTAATTAATGCAAGAAACTGTGGAAGGATTTACCCCCTCTGAGCGAAGTTTCTATCAAAACCGTAAAATCAGAGCTTCAGTGAGACGACACTTTTCACGTGATCTAATTTGAATTAATTACACACACTTGCATCAACCACATAACCCGTGCACAGGAAATAGGCTAGTGGTGTTTTGGATGGCCGTAAGCAATGAGGTCATGTAAATCAAGATGAATAGGACAACTGATTCCAATTTTTTTTATTTGAATATAATATCAATATGGTTATTTACAATAACAATATCTATTTAAGACAAGTTCCAGTGGGTATTTCAGCCCAGTGTAGTTTCTCTGGTGTAGTTTGGTCGTTTACAGTGTTTCTGTGAGTCATTTAGAAGGAAAGTCCAGTGAGATTTCTGTGAAAATTATTCTAGTGCGGCTGATTAGAAAGGTGCTTTTTATTTTTCAGAAGCTCTGGGTTTATTTTTGTCCCTCGTCTTTTTCCTCTTCACCCTTTACTTCTTCGTCTTTTGCTTCATCATCCTTTTCCTCTCCCTTCATTTCCTCTTCATCTTCCTCCTTGTCTTCCTTTATACCCGCGCCTTTTTCCTCTTCTTCCTTTTTCTCCCCATCCACCTCTCTCTCGTCCTGCTTCATCTCTTCTTCCTCCTCGTCCTCCTCTTCCACCTCCTCCCCCGTCAGATGCTCCAGATCTGCAATGCGACGTCTCAGAGCCTTTTCGGCGATCTTGTTATTTCCCAGTATTTTCTTCACCTTGAAATGCATCAGCTCCATCGTGTTGTACAACTTGTTGACGTTCTCCTCCAGCTCCTTGGTCTCGGGCATGATGTTGGCCGGGTCCAAATCTATCAGATTGTCTCTCATCAGGATCTCCCGCCCTTTGTCCTCTAGCATGCCTTTGGCGTCCGGATACTCTTGCAGTGATTCCATCAGGTCATCCTTGGACAGGCAGAAGAGGTCCGAGTACCCGATGCTCCGGATGTTGGCGGTTCGCCGGTTGCCTGCTTTGCTGCCTTTAATGTTAAGGATACTGATCTCACCAAAGTAACTGCCGCTTCCCAACACAACAAACTGCGTGACGCCGTCGTCGGCAACGACTGCGAGTTTTCCGTCTTTGATGATGTACATCTCGCGGCCGATGTCGCCCTTCTTGCAGATGTAGTCTCCGGGACTGAACACCTGTGGCTGCAGCTTGAGAACCAGCTCGATCAGCAGGCCGGCCTCGCAGTCTGCAAAAATACGAACTTTGCTCAGCGTGTCCATGTGGACTTGGATGGCGATCTCAGCCTTCAGCTTGTCTGGAAGATACCGCAGGACCTCCCTTTCATTCTGTGCTTTGCCGTTATTCCACAGGTAGTCGAACCACTTGATGACCCGCAACTCAAGATCCGTGTCAACCTTTCGTACCTGTGAACAACAGCGGGGACACAAACGTTCAGCGTGGAATTCAATTCAATTTTTTCCCTTGCAATTTTTGGAGCGGAAAAATGAAGCTTACCCGCATGTACTGCTTGATGTTGTCAATTCGGGACTGAAACTGAGCTTGAGCAGCGTTCATATTGGAGATCATGGTGGCGATGTTTCCCACAATGGTGGCAAAGATCAAGACGCCCACTAGAAAGTCCACTACGTGGAAGATGAATTCTGAGTCCAGGGCTGGCGGTGGCGTTTCCCCGATGGTAGTTAGTGTCAGTGTGGACCAGTAGAGGCTGAAAGAATACTTCCTGCCAAACTCGCCAAACGCAGGCTCTTCAGGATCATCCAGAGCCGGGTACACCCAGGCGTCAGCTCCGAAACCGATGTATTTGGAGAAAGAGAAGTAGAAGCAAGCGTTCCAGTGGATGATGATGAGGATGTACATGATCAAGTTTCCGATGCGGAAGATGTTGGGGTAGTTAGTTTTGGTCTCGGTCCTCGTGAAGAACTCCATCATGCGGCCGATTCTCAACAGTTTGTTGATGCGGATCTCTGGATAGTCGAGGCCGAGGATGAAATAGAGGAAGTCAGTGGGAAGCATCGAGATGAAATCGAGACGAAACTGGAAGCTTTGGATGTAGCGATCTCGTAGCAGTTTCTTATCGTTCACCATCAGGCCTTGCTCAAGGTAACCTACATTTGAAAATATAGAGGAGACACAGTATGTTCAATTTTATTATTTTAGTAAAAGTGAGAGGGGTTTTAATTAAATCAAAAGCATTGACTAATATTACAAAATTATTTTTCTGTTGGTAAGTGTCGCAAAAGAAATGCCAATTAAATCTATTGTGATTCAGATTACTTAAACATGCCACATTATCTCTGAGAGGCAAAACTGTATTTTTTATCTGATGTATTTCAATTAAAAAGTTGGTTCACACTAGCTTAATTTGACACTCACATCTCCATATGTACATTGCAAATTATGAATAAATTCCTAACGCAATACATTAAAGTGGCGGGGCTGCCAAAACCTACAATTGTTGTTGCCTCATGTGCAAAAAGGCATTTTTCACAATCAGAAAAGGCTAATATGAGACTTCAGCCGTTCAAATTAGCGAAATGAATTGGTGCTGTGTTTCCCCTAAAAGTAGCTCATTGTGGAGCTTCAGTAGGACAATAACACAAAGAGGCTTTTTTGGTATACGCACTTGATTTGTCCAACTCAGACTGCTGAAGCTTCTAGTAAGCCTATTATTAGATATTAGAAATCCTTCTTGCACAGAAAAAGAACTGTAGCTCCTGTTCCTAATTCTAAGAGACGAGAGAACCAAAGAAGATGCCTTTTTTTGAACAAGGCATATTATGAAGATGAGTCGTTCACCTGTTCTGGTCCTGAAAAACATATCCGCCAGGTAGATTATGTCAGAGGTGTAGTCGAGAATAACCCAGTAAACGATGTAGTTGTGCTGCAGCTCCTCAAAACAAGCCCTGTTTGCAGGAGGAGAAAACATCAGCAATGAGTATGTTTAGTAAATCAACAATGTTGAGCACGTTCATCCCTTTGTTCCACTGCTGGAGCTGATGTGGTGCCGAACTCACTAGTTTCAAAGCAAACTACAGCTTTCATTATTGTAGGTAAGAACTTTTCACCGGCTATTCAAAGAAAAAGGCTGTTTCTCTGCACTGGGTGAGTGCTAAAATTGCAATGATATGTAAGGTAACAGAGCTGAATTGAATGGTGTGACTGTTTGACCTGGAGGAAAAATATAGTGTTTATAAAGAATCACTGGTTCACAGAAATCACCTGGCTATGATCATGGTCCAGTTGTACATGACTGGAAGGGCGATGATGAACAACCAGTTGTAATACAAATTCCCAGCCGGATTTATGACAAATAATTCTTTGGGCCTATGGAAAGAGAGATACAATGTAATATATATATACATGCAAATTAAATGGTTGAATAAACTCTTAATGATGCACGTACTTGTCTTTGTTGTTTTGCTTTTCTTTCTCCTTTTCTTTCTCCTTTTCCTTCTCTTTTTCCTTCTCCTTCTCCGTCTCCTCTTTTTCCTTGGCCTCCTTGTCTTCCCTTTCCTTCTTCTCCATCTCCTTCCTTCTGTAAAACACATCAATACTTTTCAGCATGCTGTGCATACTGTAAAGTACATTTTTAGAGAAAAAGTTGCTTAGAGGTTTATAATGTAACACAATTACGCTTTCTTCTCTTTCTTCTCTTTCTTCTCTTTTTTCTCCTTTCTCCTTTTTTTCTTTTTCTCCCTGGAAAATAATTATTTAACATATTAAGTTGCCTTTGAGATTACTTTTAAGTTACTAAATCCAAAACAAAAAGGTCTTCCCTCATCTATCACACTTACTCCTCATTGTTATTGCTGTTATTCATGTTGAGCAGGCAATGAGGGTTTGATCCAGATCCACTTCTAGAAAAAAAAAAGTTACACATAAGGTTAACTCTCTTAATTCCACATCATTGTCATAGAAGCTCTCCAAGCGTTTCAAATGTGCCTTTGCTTACGAGTCATCGTCACTGGACTCTTCACTGTCCGTGGATGCGGCGTGAGGGGACACAGCGAGGGATTGAAGGGGGGTCGAGGTTGTCATGGCTGCAGATCTGTTCACCCTGGAAAGACAAATCTCAAAGGGAGATTCTGTCAATCGATGACGTGACTGGAAATCAATTTGTCCGTCCCAGCAGTAGGACAAGCCTAACAGACCCCCAAAATATCTAGAGCTGAAATGATGAGCCCATTGTGTTATTATTTAATGGGCAAAACATTTGTATGAAAAAATGTTGCTAATTAATTCATCCTTCATCATTTGACTCAAGTAGACAATGTGGTTATTTTCTATTTCTACTAATCTTAACATCGTATTTCATTATATCTCTATCATAGTTTTGTCACCTTTTAACTGTTTAACTATGTAAAGCTGTATTGAGACAGATCCTAATCCATAAGTCCTGATAGCAAAGTACTTTTTTATACATCTTTAGACGTGAATATTATCTAGTAGGTCCAAAAGCAGTTAGCAGAACTGCGTCAAGTTGGAGAAAAACATGATACATTTCATTCGGTCATAAAAACAGTTACAAAAATATTTCCCAAAGCGTAATGCAGACTCCTACCTTTGTTAATGTAATGTAAAGTCCATTCTCCCTTTATCCTCTTCGACTGGCAACTGTTCATTCACAGCAACCGCGGCTTTATTGTGTAAATCATTTTTTCATTGTTTATTATTGAAATATCATCCAAATGCAACTAGACAGGTGTCACCGTTAAGCATTGAGTCTAACTAACTGTGTCATAGAGTCTGGTTGACCTTGAATAGGATTTGGGGATTAGAGTCGGCTAAGAAGAGGAGAGACAGAGTCACTCCTTAGTTGTCCACTCAAGTGGGAGATGTAATTTGTTGGAGTCAAATAAAAAAGAAAACTTCAATTAACCTGTTAAGATGTGAAGATCTTTTGTTGATTCCCATTTTTTAAATATCTATGACAGTACTTTCCTGACCATTTGTCAAACAGGCGAGGATTAAGTCTGTTTGCGTACACACAAACACACACACACACACACACACACACACACACACACACACACACACACACACACACACCCACACACACACACCCACAACCAGCCCCTCCTGCTCAGTCAGCACCCTCGGCCATATCCTATTTTGATCCTATTAGATCATGCCGAGCATTACATATTTAAGATCAGACGGCTCTGGTTCCTTTTACATGAATGAAAATTATGCGAGTGAAATTTAATCTGAAAAGGTGTGGATTGCTGCATCCTAACAACAAATCCTCCTCTCCTGATTACTATGGACTTTCTCTAGTTCAGTAGAGAAAGTCCATAGTAGCCAACACGCTCTGTTGGCTACCATGTGTTTATGGCATCTTTGCTTTTCACAGAAGACATTTTTATGTGAGGAAAAGCACAGTGGTAATTAATAAAATGAATGAAGGGTTTAATTTAGCTGTATTTTTATATTTTATTATATTATATTTGTATCATGTCTGACTAAACAATCACAACTGAATTCAAACTACTAAGATTTTCAAAAAGTATTTTTATTAAAGACAGAAAAAACAACACAACAAAATGTTTTAATTGTCCAATTCTTAACTAAAAACACACAACTTGTTGTTCATTCTTGATGAATCAATGTGACACAGCTTACTTTTGCACTGCACACACACACACACACACACACACAGTGGCTGTTTCCACTGCTAGGAAAAGAGGCTGGGGATGACAAGAAGGAACTACACTGCAACAGGATCTGCTGCCACTCCAGTTGTGTCAATCTCAGCTGCCAGTGAGGCAGCAGCGGCATCAGCAGCAGCGGCATCAGCGGCACCGGCATCAACGGCATCAACAACACCGGCATCAGTGGCATCAACGGCAACGACATCAACGGCAGCGGCATCAACGATACCGGCAGCAGCAGGGACGGCAGCAGCGGCATCAACGGCAGCGGCATCAGCAGTAGCAGCAACAGGGACGTCAGCAGCGGCCGGGGCGGCCGCATCAACAGCCACCTCAGGGGCTGCAGGGACAGCGTCAACGAGAACCGCGTCAACAGGAGGCACGTCCACAACTGTAGCTTCAGCGGCTGCAGCGTCCACTGGGGCGTCAACCACGGCCAGCTCAACAGCTGCTGCAGGTTCAGCCTCAGCTGCCTCCACCTCCTCAACCTCCTCAACCTCCTCGGCCTCCTCGACCTCATCAGAGCTTAGGGGGACGGCGTCTTTGGGTGCAGGGTTGCCAGCCTGTCACAAAGATATAGACAGACAATGAGTTCAGAGTTGAAACTTTCACATGTCCATTAAACTGCTTTTACTTAACACTTGTGAACAAACTGGTGGCATCGAATCGAACATTTACCAAACATGGACGGACCAAAGAAGGATACCACTGTCAGTGTCATATTCACCAAGAGTAAAAGAGAAATTCTGGCTCGAATGCTAAATATGTAGTGAGTATCTAGTTTAACTGAACACTTGCTTTTGATCGTGCAAACAACAGGAAAAGAAGCACAGGTAGAAACGATAAAATAAATGATGGTATGGTTGGCAGTGTATCTGCTCACCTCTGTCTCCTCCTCCGATGCGTCTCCGACAGCTTGGGCAGCAGCAGGAGGGACGCCAGCAGCCTGGACTGGTGCAGCATCAACCTGCAGAATCATAACACGCTCAACTCAAACACCACGTGGAATTGAGAGATTAGATGTTGCATGGCTTCCTCGGCCGAATAAACCCAAACAAATGAATGATTATTGATAAGTTAGACCTACACTTCACTAATAATTCCAGACCTTGATTTATGTTCAAGGTTTCCTGATTAATATGAAACTAAAGTGATTCTGGACAAAATATTAACTCACAGGAGCATCAGTAACTGGCATGAAGGGGGTTCCAACTAATCTCTGGAAACATACAGATTAATGATTCTAAGAAATAATTGATGCCAAACAATCTGAATTTTATTATTTTATTTTTTAGAATCTCCAATGAACCCCAACTACCTGCTGCTGGTGCAGCCTGTACATCTCCATCCACCTCAGGGCCTTGTTAGCATGCGCTGCAGCTTGCTGAGGGCATACCTGACATCTCTAGACATGCACTGTAATTAAGCAAATTACCCCCCCCCCCCCCCCAACCCCCTCTCGTCCGTCAGACATGTTCCATACTATACACATGATGACTTGACTAAAACATGGTATCACATGCCTGGACAGACAGACACAGAAACATCACTGAAAAGCAAAAATCTTACTTTTTCCTCATTGCTGTCACTCTCCGCAACCTGCAAACCAAGCGGGAGAAAAGAGAAAGCAACAATGACTTCATGCGTTCTTCTCTAAAGCAAAACAGTGTTTAAACCGTGAAAGACAACCAGTCGACTGACTAAATTACGTTTAAGTTTTCTTTAGGAAAGACTTACGGAGAAGCCAAGGTGGTGACCAGCAGGCACAGCGTGAGCACCAACAGCTTCATCATGATGTTCCTACAAAACAAAGCCTCATGTTGTGTTTAACAACAATCTCGTTCTTCATTTCCTTTTGCTGGGAGTGTTTTTTTCTGATATTCAATTAAGTTAATATGATTTGTTTCAAGAACTATAATATCAACAGCAATATATTTCTATTTACATTCATATTCTACAATGTATACACTTCGTTTCCGTATGAAGTCTCAATCTCACCTTTTTTCCAGGTGCGGAGGTGAAAATGTGTCTCCTCAGGGGTGCAAAGTAATCTTCTTCATCTCTAACTTGGAGGCCATTTATATAGTGGAACGTCCTGGGACAAGCCAATGCACATGCGGCCAAACTTACAGACCTACGTATTTGAAGTCATTTCCTTTGAAAAAACAGAGGCACGTAGGGTTAAGGCCGCTGTTATAGTTAATTACAGGCTGCATTGTATGCTGAGCACACAGGCCCTTCTCCTTATTGCTCTCAAATAGAAATATAACGACATGGAAAGAAGCTGACACACGCATGTAATGATGCTGACTGAGAGACACCACTTATTATATATACTGTATATATATAAATAAGTGGTGTGTTTGTTGGTTTTGGCAGTTAAACATAAAAATAAGTGTGTAAAATAAAATACTGGTGACATTGACAGGGTTGTTTCTACATTACACAATACTAAAATCTTAAACGTATGCATATATTATATATCATATTTTTGCTATACGATTTTCTAATTTTTAATTAGAAAATATATAATAAGCCTATAAAATGTAATGTATTTCTTACCAATAAACCAGTGGTTGTTTTTTGGCTTGTGACCCTTTAAAAAGCAGTGTTTTTTGAGCCTTGTGTCCAGATGAGTTGTAAGTTTCAAACAAAGTGAAAATTCCCTCCTTAACTTCTTAGAATACATCCACATTACATTCACACTGAAAAACGAAATTCCTACACAAAAGGATTTATTCCAACTTTGCTTCTCTATACACTCAAATGTTGTGAAAAGATTCATTTTTTTAAAACTTAGCAAAAAGGCTGCAGGTCTATATCTCTCTCACACTGTCACACAAATCAAATGTACTTTTACATAAACTCTTTCAAATAAAAGTTACAAGTAACTCGATCGATTACATTGCATGTGACATTAAACTATCGTCTAAGAACAAAGACAACGATGCACTTATTTACGAAAGTAGATTTACGTAACGATTGCTTTATTAAATGCTTCTACCCCGTAAGCAAAGTCTGCCAAAACATGTAACCCTGTGGCCTCCAACTTGCAAACCGCTTCATAGATTACTTACACTTTAAAAGAAGACGACAATGAACACATGCAAATCTATTGGAAGAAATTGTGAGGGGTCAGGACTTCGACTCAGGTGCAGAGCAATAAGGCAACAGAAAATTCTTTCAAGGTTTGGAATCTTTTACTAGGAGAGTAAACTAATGCAAAACAAAGGGGGCACAGGCAAAGGCGGAATCCACGCGCTCTTGAAGAAACAAAAAGGAAGAGAGCCTGGCAACAAAGTAGAAACAAGATTACAAAAACAGCACTGGGAATTTAACAACAAACATGTACCTCTAGGAAGGACAAAAGATAACCTGACACAGACAAGTGGGGAACTGAGGCTTAAATACAGGTGGGGGTGATTGCAAACTAAACTCAGCTGTGGGGGGAAACTAGATACAGGAAGTGCCGTGGTTACAAAAATAAAACAGGAAGTTAATCTTCACAGTCTCTTCGAGTCGTCACAGAAATAAGCCGCCCAGTCACACATTTATCACAGGTTTTGCTGTTTTGCTGCTGTTTTTTATTTTTCTTTCTTGTGGTTGAAAATCAGATAATGATCTGCAAAATTTTCAATTTAGACATTCTCGCATCTGCTGATACGATCCCTTCATTTCCTCTTCATAACTTGTACCATTTCTTCTTGGTCCACAGTGACATTGTTCCTTTGTTTGAATGTCTAACATTTGCTGCACTGTCTTTCAATAAAGAAACCAGATCTAAATCAGTAAATGTAATTTATATTTTTGTTTGTACATTTTCCCTTCGAGCCGTTACTGAGCTGCTATCGAAGACCAAATATCTCAAAACCATTCATACATATTTATGTGTTCAAATTGAGATTAGACAAACAATGTACAAAAGAATCCTAAAAGAAATATTCACGTTGCTGCATTGTTTTGTTCTGTCACAACATCTCACTAGAATAGCTGCGTGTTTAATATTTATTTATAAATGTATCCTTCCCGCATTCTCTAATTCTGTATTTATGTATTTGCGATTCAATCACAACTTCCCAGAAACAGTGTGTGGTACAAAAGCAATCATGCTGTAGTTGCAAGAGTCAATTTGAGGCTCAAACATGTTGTTAACGTCTCCTTTGCTGTGCATGATAGAAGTTGTACAATTATGTGGTGAAAGTTCCGGGAAATGAAACTAGTGGGAAAGAGACATACATAGCGTGAGAGGATGGCGCCTGTTTATTTTAAGTGTGTTTGAAGATAAATGTAAAAGGTCGTGCTGTGACAGGCTCGTGTCCGCAGGGCAGAAATGATCAGTTCTTTTCACTGGGGAGGAATTTATTTAACCTATGTGGCAAATTTTGTTCTCTCTGTTTCGTAATTTGATGTTGCCTATGCAGCATGTAAGATGCCTGTAGTGTATCTGTACCATACACGTCGGGTTGGGGAATTATTTTTTCTGCCATTTGGATGCTGCCTTTCTTCTTTTGCCCTCCGTTGTGTGGGGTTTCCACAAGAGTCAAATAGCCCTCCATTGATTTATATTTCCATTGTTTGTGCAATATTCATGAACACAGTTTGGTCTAGTAGTACATTTGGCAGCTAGTGCCCATACCCCAACATTTTAAAGCTACGTACCATCACATATAACAAGAAATATTCACTGTAAAGGATTAATTGAGTCAAGTTCAGTTTTCTATACATCTCTATTATTATAAAAACTATTATTAAATATTATATATGAAAACAATATTTACTTGTGCTGTACAGCTTGTTTTTTTCAGTGCCAAATACCACTAACACCAATCAATTTCTCAAAAAGACAGAACAACACAAAATTGCTTGGAAACGTGTACTTTATTCTTAACTGAAATTACATTTAAGGAATAGTTAAAATGATTTAATAAACATGAGCAGGACATTTGTTACATACTTTAATTGCAGGGTTAGAAAGCGTTTAAGTGACTATAAGTACTATAAAGTAAAGCAGAAAAGTGTTGGTGCAGATGTAACAGACTATTGAAACAGTATTCTCAATGTAAGGCTATCAGGTGGTCATCTTAACATGTTATCTTGACTTTGGAAAGCACATTTACATGTTACTTCTCATCATTCACATGAGCTTCAGCAGTTGTCTGAATGTCAAGGAGGAAAGTATAGTTTTTTCTCCTTTTCGCTGCTTCTCTGCCACTTTACACCTTTGCTGGCATCTGCAAAAGTAATTAATCAAATTATAGCAAATATTATTTAATCCACAGACTCTCCTCACAAATTACATAGGCTGTGTGTGTTTGTTGAAAGTCATTTATCTGCAATACTGATCTTCTTAAATGAATATACAGATTAATGAATACCTGGCTTGTCTGGATGGGCTGGTCCTGCTGGAGAGGCTGCATGGGATCCTGGGACGGAAGGGCATTGGGATTGAATGAGGGAATCTAAAAAATGAAGAAATTTAAAACTTCAGAATCAAGGAAAGGCTCAGGATCCATCAAATTCACATATTCGGGGTAAATGCTTCCTCTTACATTTGGGATTTGCTGTGGGATATTCTGAGGGGGATATTCAAATGGGAACACCTGTGGATACAATGTAAAGTAAAGCAAGTATAAAATATGAGAGTAAAATGCAATATCTAGAAAATATAATATCTCACATTTGGCATCTGAGGGGAGTTTGTCATGGGAGGAAGGTTTGTCATTATCTGGAACAAAAGCGCATGTACCTTATTTAGTCGTGCATCATGTAAAACATTTTTAATTTTGCATCAACATCAATCAACTTCAAAATATTTACCCTTTGCTGGGAGAAATCATATGGGTAATACTGAAAATGTAAAAACAGGAGAGCACAAACATAAGAATATGTCTCGTCTCAACAGGTTTTTCACTAACTTGCAGAAAAAAGACAACATCAAATTGTTTTTCAGTGTTTTTTCAGTTAGGGCTGAAAAAAGAAGGAAAAAAAACACTTACAACTTCCACGCTCTGTCTGCCAGGTGGCTGAGGAATGGAGTATTTTATGAAACCAAAGGACTGCAGAGAGAGAGAGAGAGAGAGAGAGAGAGGGGATGAAAAAAATATATATCACGAAAAAGTACAGAGCAGTTAGGATATTAGGTGATCACATTTGAAAAGAAGAGCTGCTTGTGTACAACCACATGCCCACCTGTCCAGCATTTGTTCCACCTACACCACCAGCAACTCTGTGGGGGTAAATCTTGGGGCGGAAATAGAAATAAACGTAAGTTTCATTCATCAAAATATTACATATTTGTGAAATGGAATCGTACGCATGAAATAATAGAGAGTGTGACATACAAGTTCAACACTGTAAGCACCAGCTGCTCCAGGTGGTGGCAGAGACTGACCAGCTGTGAAGGGATTTCCCACCTAAACGAATGGGACATTGTCACAATACAGTAAACTCCACACAGCAATAGTTCTGCTCTGGTTCATTCATTTATCACAAGCAATAGTGGCTCAATAGTATACTGTGTGCAGCCTCTGATGTAGAAGAAAAAGAACACAAACAATGGACTATTACCTGTGAGGGTGGTACCTGTTGCCTGGAACCTGCATAATGAGGCAGGTAATGAAAGATGGACTAAAAACAAAGACAGAAAAAAAATAGTTAGATGAAAACAAAATTCAGAACTCTGCCTGAATTGATTGAGAAAATGAAATAACAAGATCAACCTTTATCCAGTTTTAAAACTTACAGGTGCAGCACAGGCCGTGCTAGCCAGACACAGGCAAAAGATGACCAGTTTCATTTTTGCAGATTCTCTGAGTCCTGCAGACAATATTCGACTTCAGATGGACAGAAATCAGATGGCATTTTAACAAGAAAGAAAGCATAAACTCATGTTGAAGTTCTCCACAACTTACCTTCTGTGATGAAAAAAAAACACCACTGGAGCGGATGGTGAGTTTTGATATTGAAGATGATTTCAGTGCATCGTGTCTTCTACAGAGTTACTTTATCTTTTATAGGGTGCCAGCTCACCTGCGAGCCAATCACAGTAATGGGCGTGGTGTTACCCAATGAGTAGGTGCAGTGCAGGTGTCTAGTCTGCAGCTTTACTAAATGACCAGTGGTCAAATCTACCTTCTGCGTAATAGCAGACTGTTTGATTACACTGTCTGGAGCATTGCAAACCTTCGGTCTGCTTGTGCCTTATTCTGCAAACATGGCATTTTCATTAGATCTGTGCTGCAGCTGCTTTGTAGAATAAACATCAAAACTGCAACATTATATATGTTACTCCACCAATAAAAACAAGATATATCCTATTCTCTTCTTCCTATTTTATTGCGATAATAAAGGTAAATCTGATTGATTTACAGTCGCTCCCATGCTAATTGTGTTTCCAAATCATAAAAACGGCAGCTTCAGAGACACAAGTCTATCTATGCAACTGATGGTAAATGTACTCAATGTTTACCAATAAGATGGAGTTAGAAAACTTTGCTCCATTACAATTTAACAGCTGAAAATGTACAAACTAACGTTAAATAATTTCATGACAATAGTTTTACAAAATGTTGCTAGATCAGACACACAATCATTTATTTATTTGTACAATATTTGTTGTATATGAAGTAAATCACAAGACAGTAATGGATGAGTTCTTCTCATGTATGGTAAGTATAGTTTCCATGGGCTCAAAATAAATTCTTTATTATGAGACATAGCCCTGTTAGCGCCATCTAAAGAGCAACGTATTATTTATCACCTGCTTGACTTATTGGAATGTCACCGAAAATGTAAAGGAAAGCAAATTAATCTTTACATTCAGAGACATTCACACGCAAAGAGAATATATGATTGTTTCAAATAAATTAATGACAGATAACAGTTTATGCGCCTTGTAAATATATTATTATTTGTGTGAATACATGTGTACTTGTGCCGCTCTTACCCACTCCAATCCTGCTTACTCTAATTGTTTAATCTTTGTCATCATCATCATCATCATGATCATCATCATCATCATCATCATCGTCATCATCATTGCTGGGTTTGGCAGCTTGAATCATCGAAGGCTCAGACGAGCCAATCAGGAGTGAGGATCATGTGTCGATGCTTCATCAATACCCTGCCAGAATTAGTCGGGGGACAGTTTCTCGCTGATGTCACACCCATTCATCAAAATCAACCTCTTGCCCTCATCACTGCTTCAAATCAATCTAGCCTCCTTCCTGGAGCAACAACAGGTACAATAGGAGAAGCAGGAGCTGCTGGAGCTGCTGGAGCTGCTTTCTTGCAGGTCAAAACCAAAGCTGTGATACTGCAGTAAATGAAAAAGACAAGAGGACATTAGTTCAATAAAATCTCACTCTGAGGAATGAAAATCTTCAGGCACATCCTTTGTGCCTCTATCGTTTGGCTCCTGCTTACACAGACCTTTAAATGACAAAACACTCTCACTCTCATGCACTTAAATGTGCACTGTTACAAGCAAAGTATTTTTAAAAAGGTTGAGACAATTAACTCTTTGACTGCGTTGAACGGTTGAAACTATTAAGGCATCTTAAATCATTTGGCTGAAAGGGCTTTGTCACTCACAGGTTTCTGGGCATCAAAGGGAGCAGCTGGAGAAAAAGGAACAGTCAAGTTTATCATATCAGAGAGTTTTTGTCAGATAGAATAAAATAAAAACAAAACAAATGGGCTCGTACAACTTCCAGAGCTTCCTGTGGGGCTCCAGCAGGAGAAGCCCGGACTGCCTGTGAAGAAGGAGAAGAATCATTTTAACTTCTAGTGTAGATTATGAGTGGAATTTGCAAACCGGTGGCAACAGAGCCATCAGAATAAGCTATTACGACATTACCACCACTTAATAGCAGATCTGTGTGCAGCTTATTCTGCGACGTCTCGTTTTACAGTGGGTTTTTGTGTGTTTGGCGTGGTTTACGGGACCTCAACTAGAGCGTGGCGGAGGTCAAACTCCATGAATATTTGGGACTGTGAAGAAGCAAAGGATGTACTGCAGAATAAATAGACACCAGGTGGGTGTCAAATCAATAACTCAAACAAACGTTTAAATGCACTATTATTCACGGTCATTATTGTCAATAGCCATATGCAGACTCCTTAATCTACACCTACCATAACAGGACAATTGGGCAAACGTCTTCTGCTGATGATGGTTATGTTGAGCTCAACATACAGCTGCAACGACCTTTGGGTAAGATTGGGCTGTTTAATATTTACAGCATTTAAAACAAACTTCAGAGATAAAAAAGCAAGCAGGAGGAATTTAATTTCGAATAATACTGCAAACAAGATTTTAAATACAAAAGTCCCATTTTCAAAGGTGATGTCATGTGATGTGGGGTCGTCATGGCGCAGGGGGGTAGAGAGGTGTGCTGGTAAGCGCAAGGTTGGTGGTTCGAGTCCTGACTGCCCCATGTTCCATGTCGAAAGTGTCCCTGAGCAAGACACATAACCTCTAAATGCTCCCTGGGCAAAAATGTAAAAAGCCATGGGTTAAAAATGTAATCTAAGTTGCTTTGGATAAAAGCGTCAGCTAAATGACCTGTAATGTAATGTGATGTTAACTATCTAACATTAGCTTTTCACTCTGACAAAACACAAGTAGTGAGAGATTTTTGAGGAGAGGTGTGATCACGCCAGAGAGATTTACCCCTATTTATTCACTCACAAAACATTGGACAAGCAAAGCTAAAATAGGTGTTGGTGACGAGCCAAGAATTTTCCATTTTTTGAAGGCATAATTGGCGGCCATATCTCCATGTGGAATCTCCATACACATGTCACATTAATCACATTTGTACCCTCAGTGATCTGCTTTAGCAGGTGAACCCTTGCGGCGTGTTTTTTAAAGGTCATCAGTTTCATGTGAGCGGGAATCCAATGTATGCAGAGCTTTAGAAACCGACATATAGTAGCTGCTGATTTTTTATGAATCTAGGTGTTTATTGTAAAGCATGTTATCACAGACCACACCTGCCCATAATGGTTCATTCTGTATTATAGCTGATTGTGATCGGAGGATTGAATATCATGATTATATTACAGTTGTCACATTTCTCACATCATCACATGTTTGAGGTCTATTTTGGCTCAAGCTTCTTTCCCGTTCTTTAAGTACAGAATAATTAAATGGCTTCTGTTAATTGGCATGCTCATTCACTTGTATGTGAGCATACAAGGGGGGTAAACTTCAGGGCTGCACTTTGTAAAGAAAAGGTGATTATAAGGCCTCTTTCATTATGGTGTTACTGGGTAGAAACCTGTAACCATTCAAGGCATTCGGGTTGAATTACATTGGAATTGTTACAGAGAAGAGGTAAACAAAGTTTCCTACAAACTGTGTTGGGTTTTCTTGACTATCGTGCCTCGTGTTAATAGCAAAAAGAGCTGTAAGGCAGTTTGTGATCTGCATTTCTGTAAGAACATGATCACAGTGTTGCGGAGAAAATCTGTTGTAATCAAATCTGTTTTATGCTTTCAAACTGATTTTAAAGTCCCCCATTTAGCAGTTAAAGAGCTCAAACTTCCCTGAAGAGATAGAGAAAAACATTAGAGAGGGTCAAAGGGGGAGTGAATATTGTCATTTTATTGATTATATGACTCCATATGAATGTAATCATTACCCTGTGTGCTAGATGAGCAAGAAGTTCACCGAATAAACCTGATGTCAATTTCGTGTTCACAGCTTGTTAACCAAAGGGTTTGAGAAGTTTAAATAGAAATCATTAGGACACCTCATTTCAAATAGTTGAAATAATTCAGGTTTATTCTTTATTATGAAAAGGAAAAACAAAACCACTTTTTGCGTTACAAAGTTACAAGTGTGCTGTGAGTTCTCTCTGCCGGTTGCTGCAGTTGCAGACACGCTTTCCTTCCGTGGGTTGGACAGGTGCTTTCACCGTGGCCGCCTCCTGCGGTGGTCTCTCCAGACCTGAAGGGAACCCGTTAGTGTTGGGCTGCGGTGCGGAGCCCGCCGGCCCCTGTGTCTGCTGGACTCCAGCAGAGAGGGTCCCCGAGGTTGGCACGACAACTTGCTGCTGCGGGTTTACCAGCCCGGCACCTTGACTCACTGGCTGAATGGCTCCCGCGGGCGGGTTCGTGAGCAAAGTGGTCAGGTACACACCCAGCTGGCTCATTTTCACTGCCGTCTATGGAGGAACATTAGACGGAGAGGTACAGTTAAAGGCCATGGGGGGGATGAGGGTGAGGGGGGGCGCAACTGGATCATCAGTGCGATCAGTGGGCTCACAGAGCAGAATGTCTGAACAAGATGAGACGCTGATAAAGATCTCAGCTGCTGAGTTACCTGCAGCTCCTCCGAGCTGAGACTGCTAAGCAGAGTCTCCTGGGGAACGAGTGCAAATGTCAGGTAAAGCTTTAGCAAAAAGAATGTTACAAAAACATGTTTTTAACATATAATATGATTGTTTTCATTTAAGGTGTATTTTGCATTTACCTTGGGCTGCTGGAACATGTATACAATTTGGGGACTCTGTGGAATAAAAAAGATTTTTACTTTGCTGCTTTTCCACCTTTCGAAGTAGAATGTGAAATTTATTATACAGTGTAAGACTCATTTAAAAAAAAGAGAGTGACCTGCTGTTGCTGCACTAGCTGAGGTACATCTCCCAGGGGAGCAGCTCCAGAAGGTGTTCCTGCAGGTAACACCGGACTGATGGGCGGTGGATTCCCTGGTGTTTGTGGAAGCAGCGATTCAACAATCATGGGGAATCCATATGGTGAAAACTGCAGGACAGAAAAAGAAAACATGTATATTTTTATATTTGTCAACAGTTTTTTACTTACATGAAAAACTATCTCCCACTATTTCCAAAAGGCAGATCCAATTATAATATCACTTGTAGCAGAAAAACATGTCAAAATGAGGCACAACGTCCCGGTTTTCATCTCAGGTTCATAAATCAAGTGACAGATTGCAGCACAGTATAAATATCTTTGTTTCAATTACACTGTCACTGTTTTTCCATTTTCCTAAAGTACACGTTGACAGAACAGTCCCCCCCCAGGCCGAACCTTTCAAGGTTGTGACAGCAGCTTCCATCTGAAGTCTATCATTCAGTCCGCAGCAGTACACTCTCATCAGTGCATGGGAGGATCAGTCCCCGAGAACAAAGTCAGTGTATTTCGGTAATAGATATGTATCATCTTACCAGTTGATTCCCATAGGGAGACGAGAGCAGTGGGACGTATCTGTAAGGAGGGAAAATCTAGAGGGAAAAAAACAACTTATTTGCAAATGACTTGCATTCTGAATCACTATAAATATCTACATTAATACAGAAACATTGTTTTTTTTTCTCTCTTTCTGCCCTACCGAAGGCTGCTGTGGGAGTGTCGGCTGGTCAGCAGGCTGGGATCCGTAGATGCTCGGCTGCAGAGGAATGATCCTTGGACTTCCCCCTAACGAAGGCCACCAGTAGTGCTGTGTGGGAGGCAGGAACTGGGGACCACCCTGGGGACCCAGCTGATAGGAGACCCCCGGCTGTGGTTGGACCACATTAGGAGATAAAGGGGCCGGCGTCTGAGTGTCGAGTCCCTGGTTTGTTGCTTCAAGAGCTTGAGTGGCTCCTCCTTGTGGAAGCTGGGGAGGACGCACATTAAACCGGACTTAAAAGTAAACAAGATGCATAAACAATTGTTTTCGCAGCAGATTTCACATGTGCGTATTAATATTGTCAATAAATGAAGCTACTTACTGGTACTGCAGACACCATGATGGTAAACCATGATAGGATTAAGATAATCATTTCCAAAAACAAAATGATTCCCACAGGATCAATACAAGTCTTCGGGAAATGTCCACTAAGAGCACATCAGAGTATTCAACAAGACACTAAGAGGTCAGGCAATGACTTATGGTCTGCTCACAAAGTGAAACAACCAATCACATGGCAGAAAAAAAACGCTTCTTCTGGTGTAAATGAAGCGGGGACGTGGAAGCCAAGGAAAATCCATTGAATGCTCCAAACTGCCTGTTTCTTCCATCAATTACGATGCAGTAATGTCTACAAAAATGAATAAACAAACCAACAACAACTCCGGACTTACGGCGGCTGTGGTTTTACTCAGAGCACCTGTGGGTGCGGCTGATGTGTCAGTGTCTCGCCGCTGTGGTTGTGGTCAAACCAAAGACGCAATGTGCAACGAAAACAGAAAAATACTACAAGGTAGAAAAGAATGTGGCACAACATTTTTATTCTAGAGCCACATGTTGAAACAATCAGTTAAAATAGGGAAGACATTGGCTGCATGAAGTAGGTTGCAACTGCAGAAAAGGTTAAATGGATAAATGCCGCAGCAGTGAAGAAGATTAAAGCTTAATGTTTTTCTACCATCAAAGAGCTACATTTCATCCAAGACTCACTGAGTAAATGTATTGTTGGAGATTTCATTCATGGGAAGCATGCGTCACAAAGTGAGGAGAAACCATGGACATCCAACCGTTATTTAACAGATGGAATATCCCTCTTACTCGCAGCTGTGAGGCTTGAGTCAATATAAAACCCATCAATTATGTAATGCTACCGACGGAGATCTGAATCACTATTATTTGATGTAGCACAGTATTTTATTTTTAATTTAGCGAGTTAGTCAGATTGATCGAAGATGTAAAAAAGAAGCCAGACAGACAGGAGCCACCAGATTAGGAGTTTTATCCGAAAAGTACAACCTGAACATTCAAAATTTTCAAAAAACATTCTTTTTCAGTGCATGGTTCTCAATGATTCACACCAACCTGTGCCTGTTGAATGGCTGGTTTACATCGACAAACAAAAGACTGGAATAAAAATAGAAAAGACTTGGAAATAAAGTTACATTCTTAAGAGTAGCTGTGCAAAACTCACTCTTTTGCCAAAAAACATGAAAACAAAACATGACATATCTCTTTTAAACAACTAGTGTATATTTCTGAGAGGACTGTTGAAGTGTACATTAAAGTGGGTAAATGCAGCAAGGAGGAGGAATTGGCCGAGTCATGATGAAAGCACAGTGCGACAGATGAAGCATAGAGTCATGTATTAAAGCCTCAGTGCTCAGCCCTTTCTTAAGCTGTGTTGATCCACAGATGGTGATGTGTGCGCCCAGTGAGTGGATAATGCACCTGGGTGTCGACAGCAACCGCCCACAGGTGTCTTCAACGCCTTCCTCAGACAAACCTCAGACAAAACTCGTAATGACAACCTGAAAAAAGTGCTGGTGTTTCTTTTACATCTTTTGAAACACATATCACAACATTCTTTAGGTTGTTGGATGGGCTGTGGCATTAAAAAAAAGGACCACACATATATTAAAAGTGCATGAAAGTAGACAACTGAAAAATGCAAGAGGATATGGAAAGGTAGCGGAACCCATAATAAAACACATTGTTCGAACATTGCAACATGTTGAAATACAAATGAAATGTATAAAATCAACACATACATTTCCATTTGACTGAGTCACTCAGCCTGTTATTCCTGCTCTCAGATCAGTACAATTTAACCGCTGTCTCCTCGTGGCTCAGTGGTAGGAGTGACTGTTGTTGTTTTTGTTGTTTTTGTTGTTGTTGTTGTTGTTGTTGTTGTTGTTGTTGGTTTTGGTGTTGGTGCTGGAGTTGGGGGTGGAGGTGTAGCAGGAGCTGGTGGTGGCAGCGGCCACAGACCAGGAAACGGCCAGGCAGGGAAGTAAGGCCACTTAGGTAACGGGTGACGATTGCCTCTCTGCAGCGATAAGATACGATGAGGGTAAAATGTTTAAAAATAATGTTTACATCACAATTGATAAACGTTAGAATTAATCCCATTCTTACCTCATCACTGTCAGACTCGCTGCTGTAATGATGAGATTTCCGGCTTCCCTCATCACTGTCTGAATCACTGCTGTGATGACAATTCTGCAAAAAACATTCAATTAAAAACTGGTTTGCATTTCCTGTAGTAGGTAAAAAGCGTGTAGAATATGTATTAATGGTTGGTACTTACAGCAAGAGGGTAATTGATCAAGGAGAAAACCACCAGGAGAAGAAACATCATCTTGCAAAGCATAATTCAAATCCTTTGGTCGTGCGCCACGGTAGAGAGCTAAACAATGAATGAAATATTAAGACCGTGTTCGCTTCCCTCAAGCTGGTTCTTTCAGAACACTCCATTAGCTTTTAAGCAGCCCCGCTGTGTTCACAATGCTCTCGCACTTTAAAGCTGCGTTACTTCATGTCAGATGTGGTCGGTCTCACGGCAGCCTCCGGAAACAAAACCAACATAGGCGTGAACGCAATTTCATTACCCGACTAGACGTGTGTTTAGTAACTTTAAAGGTCCACATCCTGTTTTATAATCCCCATTGACTTAAAATATGTTCTTGCGCATGCTGTGCTGAATTAACCACTAAGTTCAACTTGTACAGCAGATTGCGGATACACAAACGCACACACCTCCACGCACATTACCACACAATTCACCTCCTTTGGTTTCAAGAAAACCTTTGAATGGGAATGTAATGCAGAATAGGAAAATGCTCCAAAACGATAATCCATTATTACGGGCTGAATTTAAAATATAAGCTGTCTGCGCTTGCAAAAGAGTGATATCTGTTGCCTAGAGTCATATTTCCATCTGCAAAAACAATACTTGCTCAATCGTTTCCAAATATTGTAATCATCTTGTTTACTCGGGGTGGACCGCTTCATTAAAGTCATGACATTTTATGGACTGTTGCAAATGTCATGCAGAGATTATATCTCTCTCAAGTTTTATTTCCCAACCAGGGGCAACCACGGAAAGATCAGCACTGCTGTTAAAATATCATGCCCCATAGAAACAATTTAATGATATATATTTAATTAACTATTCTATCCGTTCTGGATAGTTTACCATGAGAATTAAAGACATACAGACTACTAGCTGAATATTATATATATTGTTAATAGTGGTGAGCTGAAGAGTAGAGAAAAAAACACAAAGCAACATTGTAAATCAAGATATATATATATTTTTTTTTTCATTTTCAAATGGGATATTCACAACTAAAAAGTACTCGGCATCAACGAATAGCAGCAACAAATAAACTTCAGAACATAACAGAACATAATGTCATTAAAGACTTTTGCCTTCAGGGGCAGGAGCAAAATGAAACATATTTTTATGATGTGTGGATTCCTGTGCAACACAATGTCAGCATGTGATCATGAATCCAGGCGTTTTATTACCTTCAATGTCACCATGCGCATCCATGTGTCGCAGAAAATATTTTCTTTGTAAGGAATCACAAATGAATATTAAATTAAATTAAATTTGAGAGCAATTTGCTGGCAATTAAATATCACTCAGTGTTACAATTTAATTCAGTGAAATTATGAAATCTCGTTAAAGAGATTCTAATTTATGTTAGAAGCATTTTAGTTAATTGGTTTTGCATTTGAAAGTCAAATTTGACTTTCTCTGTGTTTCCTTTTATACCAAATTGATTTTTTTTATACTAAATAATAGTTTAGTTTGTTGTTTTGCTCTTGATATTACCCTGACTGAAATTGTTTTAATGTATTCTTGGTAACTAACTTTTGAGCGGTAAGTATTAAAATGTTTTTCCTAAACTCTAAATCACTAATGAGAGTATGTTTGGGGGACCGGGGAATATACAGAATTTCAAACATTGAGGTTTTGCTTCTATCCTTTAGATAAGAAATCCAGCTGGTGCTGATATCCAGGTATTTTTACATTTATTAATGAGTCGCCACTCTTGCTCTCGGGGGAAAAAAAATGTTTCTCTCAGCAAGGAATCCATGTATATTCTTTTGATGGCATTTTATCCCTGTAGTTAATTTTAGGAGAAACCGGTTCTGTTTAAAGGAGAGTAAGTGGTAACCCGGCTTACTTACAAAATATAATTGCAATTATAAACTATTATAAATTATAAAATTATAAAAGACTTTTTTACAATAAAGTAATTTATAATATAATGTTATACATTGGTTGGGTTTTTCCTTGTACAAAATCATTTGTTATGTTTAAGTGACAATGTTAAGCTGAACCCAAAAGTTGCAGTAACTTTGAGTTTGTCCACATATAAGGTGCCACCGATAATTTGTTTTACCATTTTCTAATAGACTTAAATGCAATCAAACTTATTTTTGCAACCACAGGAGTTGCCCCTTGGTGGCCATTAGAATGACTACATATTTTCAGAACCAGAGGTCACCGTCTGAGTTGCACTGCATTGCCATAAAAAAACAAGATTGAACAAACCAATTATTGGCTCTAGGCCATTCATGTTTATTGCGTCAGCCTCAGTAGTTCTGCTTTACACTTGGCACACAGGTTTTGTTGGTAAAATTCTGCAGCCTCACCGCTGTCGACAAATGCAACACACAGGACCTTAAATACCACATGTCAGAAATAACTTATATTCTATTGGTTTTACCTATATTTCAAATCGAAATATCAGCTTCTGCATAGTCAAAGAACATATTACCACTGTTTTTAAGAAGCTTCCTTCTCCATTGTTCAGTATTCCATAGATCCTCAATATTGAAAAGATTGTGATACGATATAAAACCAATGTCATCGACAAAACAAACATCCAACCGACGTAGCAGAACGACTAGAATACCCGTGCACATTTCTTATAATAACTGGGAAACGTCAGGCTATGAAGTCATGGTCCTGGATAGAGCTCTATTGGGTTGACAAAGTTTATTGTGTTACTGCACAATTCACGTTCATTTAAAATGCTTATCATAAACAGGAAGATACCTGACAATAATGATCAATAATAGTGATAATTCACATGTTTTTGATTGGAACTGTGGACATGGTGTCATTAATATCAATAGTAAGAAGAATACACTCATTTGGTCAAGGATTTGCATTGAGGATTTTTATTTGTTAAATGCCACAGAGAATGAGGTGATGTTTTTCAACATGTTCATTTGAACTCTACGCATTCAGACATTAGGAGCTGTAGCAGGTTATCCTTGCCGAAGCTGGGCCAACAGGGCAAGAATGGTCTGGATGAGTTGTTGGTTCGCTGTAAGTTGGGTTGTTGTCGTAGACTGGGTAGTGGCCGTTGACTTGGTGGTGGTTACCTTCAAATCAATAAGACAGATTCATTGTGAGTAAACAGCAGAGACATATAGAGGGATCTTGCAGTAATTGACATTGAAAACAATGAAGTGTTAAATACTGTATTGTAGTAGGGTTTAGAAAGTATTCACCCTCGTTGGAATTTGAGCCGTAGTTAGAGTTGGACTTGGACCGAGCAAGTCGTTTGTGCTCCGTGTCCCCCTGTAGAAAACACACAACCTGGTTATTTCCTTCATTATGCTGTAACAATAAAAGTCATGGTGTCAGCATACATGAGCAGTGGTATTGATATTGAGTAGAAGATCGTCACACTTACAGGCTGAGCCAGAACGAGGCTCAGGAGGCATCCCAGCACCAGCACTTCTTTCAGCATGATTACAGTGATCTCTTCTGACAAAAGAAAGTCACAAAGACTTTTTCAGATGAACAGCTTTTCGTTACAAAATACCAGCAAACCATCAACCTCACAAAGAAAAATACAGAAACCTGAGATTCATAGTATTACCTTCAAGTCTTCACAACTTCAGCAGATGGTGGAAGAGGTTGTTGTTGCTCTGAATGTTGAGATGTTCTTATATACAGTCCAAGGACCCGATGTCATCTCATTAGCCAACAGCATCCTTGGGAAATGCAAATATTAGGAAATCTTCCACCTCCACCTTTCAAGGTGTGTCTAAAGAACAAACACATGGCTCCTATGATATGATATCTATATTTCACAGAACTCATCAAAGAATAAAATAAGTGACTTTGTTTAATAGGAAAGTTTACCTGTTACATTTTGTATTTCTTTTCGAATGTAGAATAATTAATGAAATATATTTACTTTTTACTTTTGTTGTGTATATATTGAGCTCTGTGATTAAATTTGAGTATTTTCTTTGTCAAAGCTTTAAAGTGTGAGCCAATAATAATATTGGAATAGAATTTCATCTCTCTTGTTATTTTATAAATGGAAACAACCCAAGATCAACTTACTGTATGTCTTAAAATGGAATTCTGTTTGTAATAAAAACATCACAGGAAGGATTGAACTAGTGCAGCTGTTTTCCACCAAAGAACGACTGGACTCCAAATATCGATAAAATAAATTGTATAGACTTGTTTATGATCTGACACTTCAAGACTATGAAAAACACGCTTTAGGAACAAGTATCCTATTGTATATGTCAACCCCTTATATTTTTGAACAGTTAAATCAAAGTCAATCAGCCACAAAAAATGAACACCATTTAAGTTGTTGATGTATAATTTGTTTAGTTGGATGTTACTTGTGTAATTTTTATTGCACCACCAGCGGTTAATGTTTCATAGAGGTTAACTCGAACACAGGACACCGAGAGGTTGGTGACGTTTTAAGAAGGTTCCTTTTTGAGAACAGTCTGGAATTAGTTCAGGTAACAAAATACAAAGGATGCTTACCACAGTATTTCAAAATAGTAATCGACACAGGATTTTTCAAAAGCCGAGGTAGAAATGTTGCAATACAGATTAATATGAAGCAGGTGAGCAGACTGAAAGGATCAATGATGCGATTGATGTGTGTTTAGGGCTTGAAGGCAGGAGGGAAACCACGGCAACATAATGACAAAGATACACTTATACACACACAAAAACACACACACACACACATAAAACGATATTAGAAAAAGAAGAACCACGAGATTTGAATGTGTCAGGCTGACCTTCAACAACTCATTAGTTCTAAACTGATCTTCTTATACAAAGAAAGTTACAATCAATGAATAAATAGTAATTTACAGGCTTTCATTTGCCGTTTACCCCAACAAATGATTGTTTTCTGTTAAAAGGTGGTTAAGTGGTAACCTCACATTACGGTTGCACCAATAAAATGTCAAAAATTAATAATGTTGATATGTAACAAAAGAGAGAGGAGGCTTATATCAAAGAATTTGTGAAAATGTATTCAAATATCTGCAGGGACATTTTTATTTTCAGAGAAAACAGTTTTCAATACTTCTCAATATATCAAGTACACGTTAACAGTTTATATTTACAGTGCAGTGAATGTGACTGCATAATTCACCTTTGTTCTTGTTTCGTGATACACGCAATTGCGACTGTTCCGGGATCACGGTCCCTTTAAATGTTTTGTCGCGGAATTGCCTTTCATTA